CGACCTTCTGCACGAGAATAAGATACTCGATTGTCTCGGTCAACACTTTGACTTTGAAGACGCGGATCCTACGCCCGTACGTCTCTCCGCAGTCTTGACCGGTACGATAAAGTTGACCTTTGTAGACAAATGGTCTTCCGCCATTACGGGCTCCCATGGCTTTGTCTGTGTTGTATATTGGATTCTTCCTGTGGGGTTTCCAAGGGCCGAGAGGCGAGTCGCTGTGCCAAATCGCCAGCTGTCCGTTTTTCTTGGTACCGATTTCGCTGTGGTCCGAGCCGAAAAGAAAGAACCTTCCCTCGTGTGGGATTATGAAAGAATCAATGAGTGGCTTTTGCATGATAATCTTGTCTAGTGTCCATTTTAAGGGGAAATCAGTTGCAACGTAAAGACGGAGGTCTCCTTTCTTGCTGCCCTCTGGCATCATGTAAATCTGTGACAAGAAAAATAAATTAAAAATTGAATTTATATAAATGAAAAGTTATGTAACATGATGTCTTACATTTCCGTTGTATTCGAAGACGTATGGATAGGAAAGATGCCAATCTTCATCGAGAGCAATACCCAACTGTCGCCAAGTTGCTCCCTTGTCTGTACTTTGTGCAACTCCAATATCGCCTTGCTTTGTAATTGTATTTTTTGTCTCGTAAAACATGTAAAGAGTATCACCCTGAAATGATATGGAAGTTGCAGAGTTATTCAAGAAACTATCTTATGCAATTACTCGACAATCGAGGGGAATACATAGAAGAGGACGGCATAGATCCTTCGATCAAAAACAGAGAAAATCGGAACGAAGACTACATCGAATGGCGTATTTCCTTTCCCGGTTTTCTAGCGAAAATTCATTTCTTATTTCCTCGAGTGTAACTGATAATGCCGTCCGAAAGCAACCGTATGTGAAATCTAAAGCAGCATATCGTTGAAATCTAAAGCAAGCAATTATTGATAAATAAATAAATAAATAATTACCTGCTGATAAAGAAAAGGATCAGCAACAAAGTTACTGGGGAAGCCAGCATCGGAAAGAGAGGCGCAAGTGATCACTGGATTAGCAACAGGCCATGCTGCACTCTTGTCCTTCCATACATTCACCTGCCACGTCATCAATTTTCAGGAGTTGAAATATTACGGAATTTTACAAAAAAAAATAATAATAAAAAATCAAATACATAGAAGGCCTTTTAAGTGTCAAATCATCAATAGAGGAACCGAAAATAGTAACTAAAGAAAGAAAAATAAACAACCAACGGCGAAATCATGTATCTGAATAACCCATAAAAGGTTGAAATCTATATGCATATTGTATATAATTATGAATGCACGAATGTGTACATGAATTTAGTTATGCAACGACGAAAAAATAATAATTCACTATTACATCGATTCGTGACGGCATATGACACCAGAACTTAAGCATGGGGTCCACGACAACTGCGATGACCGTTTATACGTCTAAAAGAAAAGGGAAAAGAAATTGCGGCCAAATCACTTTTGGACAGAAAATAGATTAAAACGACGGTGTTTTGCCATTCAAACTTCATAACGGTCAGAGGGGCGGAGAAAACGACAATAATGTGGGAGCCACAACTCGTCTTACTTAAGAATTAATATAAAATCCATACATAAGGTACGACGAGCGTAGAGAATAACAAGAAACATGAAGATAAGAGTACTTTTCAAGTTTTTATCTGATTTACTCGTGCATCAAAAGAGCGAAAACGCAGCTAGTGAATAAATTATATGGAGAGAAAAGAATCTTTAAGAATCAATAACATTATACATCCAACTCATAGTGACAAATCATTTTATTATCTTTTTTCATATATTCACAAATTAATTTATTGTTGCAGGAAGTGAAGTACTTTAAAGTGTTGACTTTTTATATATTGATAAATTAATAGCATCATTTAAATAATAATTTCTTCCGAGTAGAAAAACATACTAAATAATTAATTCCATAATTTAATATTTCACTAATTAATTCTAGAATTTTACTAGTAGAAATGAAATTCTTCATGAGTTTAAAAATTATAAACAGGTAATTCAACATAGAGTTATTAGAGAAAACAACGAACAATTCTCTCTCTCTCTCTCTCTCTAGAAAGGGAAACTTACAGCTTCGATTGGTTTGAGAGAGAAAGGGGAATCTCCATAGTAGACGCCTACAGCCCATGATCCCTCACTGTCGGCTTCGCAACCCTGCGCCGCGATCCCCGTGCGCACGTTAGCGGCGAGCATATACCTCCCGTACAAACTCCCAATCGACCCCAAAACAACAAACGAAAACACGAAATACGCAAAAGTTGACGACAAAACGCACCGCTCGTTTTTTCCGTTTCCGCTCCCATTCCTGTTGCCGCCAATGCTGCTATTGCCCTTGTGCCACCGCCAACCGCCGCCGCCGGAGGCGGCGGAGGCCACGTTAGGGCTAGAACCCATTTCTCACTCTGAATAACACCAAAAATGAATTAAACTAGTGTAGAGGACCGCAACCGTACCGCCGGAGGTGGCAGCCGCCGGGAAATTCTCAGTGGTGCTGAGTCAGCGGCGGCGCTGCATGTAACGGAGAAGGTGGAGAAGCTCGCTTGATTTTTCTTCCGGCTTAACAGTAGTAGATGCTGTGGGGATCCTTTAATTCGATTTTTTTTTTTTTTTTTTTTTTTGTGGAATTCTTCGATTTTTCTTAGTTTCTGTAAAAAAAAGTTTGGATTTTTTGATTTGGTGAAGTTGAAAATGGCGAAAAGAAGGCGGTGGAAAGTTGATGGAAACCGCGGACAGTTTTCCGGGGAGAATAGAGGGCTGAACGAATTCAATTTCGTGCCAATCTGTTTTCTCTTTATTTATACAATATATATACATACATATATATATAATGTATATATATATACACACGTATGTGACAACTGTTAAAAAATTTCAATTTTGTAAAATGTGAATTTATTTGGCAATTGATTTCTCCTTTCCTTTTTTTTATTATATATATACCTTTTCTAATAAAAATAAAAATAAAAATATATAATTTCAGACAATTACTATTTATTCTAGGAACACAATTATAGAAATAATTTAATATGCAATCACTAATAGAAATTCACAACCAAGCACGAGTCTGAAATTCAAATTCACCACGAGCTTTTCAATTATTACATATTTATTGCATATTTGCTATATAAAATAAAAGTTAATGTTTAACAAAACAAATGTAAGCAAAAAAAGGTTTTAAAAAATATATAATTTGACCATAATACCCTTGTTGATTTGTTCGACCCTACACCCGGTGATAAACATCGGGTGGGTCTTCTACTGCCACGTGTCTTTTTTTTGTATTTTATAATATATTTCCCGCTAGGGTTTACCTTTAGGAGTTTTAGGGAAAAAAAAAAAAACACGTGGCAGCAGAAGACCCCCCAGGCGTTTATTACCAGGTGTAGGGTCGAAGGAGCCACCCTTGTTCGTGTTTTTTTACCGAATTTATTGCTAAAAGGGTAATTAAGGTGTGCGGTTAAAGTCAATTGAACGGACGAAAACTAATTCAAGTCGAAACAAGAAATTCAAGGACTAAAATAAATTTACCTTGTCGACAAAATTAGTGGCCTACATAAAGTAAATGATACACAGTTAAATCTTTATAAATTAATACAGTCATAATTAGTAAAATTTTATTAATTTAGTGAAATATTAAATCGTCGAACTAGTAATTATGTACTTGTTTATTGAATCATGACCTGAAGAAGTTATTATTTAAGTGAGGTTATTAATTTATCGAAGTTCACTGTATTTGATGGTATATATCAAATGTGCATCCATTATTCATTAATATACATAAATGCATACATATTTTATATAAATTTGCTTAAATAGTACTAAATTATATATTACTTAATGCATATATACATCCATCTAATATAGTTTCTATGATTATAGGGTGGGCTTCATTATTATATTCATCACAAAGTGTACGAGTGTTGAAACATAAAATCATAGGTTAGGTTGGTCATTACACAAATAAAGGCCAAGAAGACAAAATATATATAATAAACTTAAGAACATTTAAGGTGATTATTTAGTTTGATAATATTAACGTTGTTCTCAATAAATATAATAAATTAATTAAGATTATTTAGACACACAATAATTAACTCATAAGGTGCTTGGCTAGCTTATAAGCTGTTAAAAAGAGTTTATAAGTTCTTTAAAAGTATTTGGTATTTTTTTATAAAAAAATCTTACAAATTTAAAAATAAGTTACTGGAGAGCAGATAATTTTTTTTTTAAAGTATCTCCACTCCACCTTTTTATTTAAGATTTTATAATTAGTAAAAAGAGCTTATAAGCTCATTATTCAAACATCTAAAACTTAATTTTAAAAATAAGATGTAACGGACTAACGGTTTATTAGTTCTTAAAACAGTTTATGACACGTGAGAGTTTATCAACTGTTTAAAATAAGTTTAACCAAATGAACCCTTATTGAGTTTATTAACTGTTTAAAATAAGTTTAACCAAATGAAACCTTATTTACGTGTGTGATAAAATTGGACCAATTCAAGAAAAAAAAAATATTGGAAAAATCGCCTCTGCCGTTATAGATTCGAAAGTTTCAAACAAACATTCAAAAATATTTTGTACTGTATTATATTCTTCAACCGAACCATCTTTTGATATACAAAGCAAAAATAAAATAACAATATAATATACAACTAACCCTCAAATTTGGCTATTTCAATACATTTCCTATTTGTAATAATGTTTTTATTATTTATTTTTAACAGGAAATAAAATAAATAAATAAATAAATAAAATATGTCAACCTACATTAACATTGACAGTTGGTAATCCCCACGTTACAACCAAAACCAAAGACTCAATTAATTTACCTTAATTGTGTATTATATAGTGTTAATTAACAACTAAATAAACAAGTTGGACTAGGGCATGGGCTGACAACTCATGTATTTGAATTTCATATTTATATTTATGTAATAATTGTATTTAATATTTATATAATAAAAATAGTGGGAGAAATGATGAATGAAACTAGCCCAATTATGATTTACTATACATAATCCGATCCGAACATACTAAGGAAGGTTTTAGCTAATAGTTGACATAATACCCAACTTGTCATAATATTCAACCTTCAAAATACTTGCATATATATATATTTTTTTAAATTAATAATTTATTATTTAGTTACTTGGTCTTATTTTCCACAAAATTATTTAAAGTAATGATGCATATGTTTACTATATATGTAATCGGATGTATTCTACACTGGTTGAGTTTTACGAGCTATATTTCACTGCATATGCATAGATTCATACATATTTTCCGAATTCACATATGAAAAACTGCTATATTTCATCAAATATAGCATATAGCTTCGATAAAACTGTCAGCAAAATTTCAATAAGTTTAGGGCAGTAAAACAACATTAATAATCAATAACTTTGGTCTATGATAGAACTAGGTAATTAAATAAAAATACAAAAAAATGTAGATTAGTTATAACTTTTATACGTATAGATGTACCTTTTGAATAATAATTAAACTCAAAATTTTCATTCAAAACATTAGTACTAGTTGCCTATCAAATGTAACTATGATTATTAAGTATTAATTACGTTATTTAATTATGTCCAATAAATCAACCACTAGTCCACTATGTAACATTGACTTGCTAGGTTTTGTTTGCCTAAAACGGCAGTACAATAGTTGTACAGATATACATGTATAGTTGTATATATAGTCTAGGCAGAAATTTTATATTTTACTTAACTAACGGACGAAAATAAAATAATTTAAAAAAAGCAAATAAGAAACAATTAAATATATAAATTAAACAAATTATTTGTGTCATGCAGCAGCAATTAGAAGAGTGATACAAGTACAGATTGGCTCTTGGACAAATCGAAACCTTGTACACTTGATCAAACAGAGTTCATAGGAATATATTCCCATAATTATCCCATCTAGTGGGAGTTCTTTTACATTATATATATATATATATATATATATACACACACACACACACCCTCACCATGATTGATGAGCATTACTGCCAGATGCCATACAAGTCTTTGCAAGTCAACTGATTAGAACATGGCAAGGGGTGGAAATTGGCACTGAAAATCCGATATCTGCCAATTTTGATCTGAATTATTCCGATTTTGGAACAATATTCTTCATTCCAAATCCCAGAAATTTGATCCCGTTTTTTTTTTTTTATCGCAATTGGAATATATATAAGATCCAGATTTCAATTTTCGGAAATTACACTTATAGTTTCAATATAATTATACATTTTATAAGTGACAAAATTTCCAGCATCTCCGATCCAAAAAATTCTGATTTTCTAGGAAAGGAATTGGAATGAATTTTCCACTTCCGAAAAAAACGATTTTATTTTTATGTTTATTCTGATTCGATCCGGCCGATTTTCATCCTTAAAAGTGGCGTTATTTATAAGATACAAAATCATAAGAAGAACCTCCCAATCAAAATTGACTAGTCAACTTCTGGTTTTTATTGTTTTATTTAGGGTAAATTCCACTTTACCCCCTCGTACTCTGCCTGAGAGTCACTTTACCCCCTCGTACTCTCAATTTTATCGATTTACCCCCTTGTACTTATACAATTTCTCAAGACAGCCCTTTCCTTCAATTTTTGTCAATTTTGACTCTAGTGCCATTTGGTCAACTCTGTAAATTACAAAATTGCCACTGCCTATAACGCGTCGTTTCTCCTTCGTCAATATTGTCATTTCTTCTTCTCGCACCACTTCCCCTTCCAGGATATCCCCAAATTGAACCCCTAACTTAGTAAAAATCAAGACCCAAAAATTGATCGATTCCAACCAGTGCAAAGAAAAAAATATATGAATGTGTGAAACTTTCTCTTTTCTAATCTCGAGAGTCAAAATCGAAAAAATTCAATATTTACGTCAATATTTTGACTCTTGACCAAATGGCGTCAAAGTCAAAATCGAAAAAAGTTGACGAAGAGGGTTGTATTGGAAAATTGTACAAGTACAAGGGGGTAAATCGACGAAATTAAGAGTACGAGGAGGTAAAGTGGTTCTTGGGCAGAGTACAAGGGGTAAAGTGAAATTTACCCTTTTATTTAAACATCACGAATTCCAAAGTCCAAATCAAATAAAGGATTAACAATTTTGAAGACTGCGCAAATTCCTACAGAAAATAATGTGTGCTTTAATTTATAGGGCATTTACAATTAAATACTTTGGGGCTCAAGATTTCAACCTAATCACGAGTTTTATAAGTGGGGCACTGCAATTATTTTATAATAATATATAGACATATATTTTTTTTAATTTTTTATTGTTCCTTGTTAAATTCCAATTAATTTTGTTTATTAATTTAGAAAAGTTTTTGTCCTGCATAAGACAATGGCAAAACAGAGACTAAGAGCCTGTTTGGCTAAGCTTATAAGCTCCTAAAAACATCTTATAAGATGTTTAGGAGCTTATAAGTTGTTAAAATGTGTTTGGTAAAGAAATTACAAAAGATCTTATTTTTTCCAAAAATAAGCTGTTAGGGAGCTTATAAGATGTTTTTAAAAAAGTACCTCTACCTAGGGCTGGGACTTTGGGATCGGGATTCGGGATCCCGTCCCGTCCCGATTAGAATTTTACTATTTGGGACTAAAACTTCGGGAATTCGGAATTACGGGATTCGGGATCGGGATTAGGAACAAATACGGGATCGGGATTCGGGAATTGGTTCAATCCCGATCGGAATATTTTAATCCCGAATTAGGAAAAAAGAAAAAAAAAAAAACTAATAAACACACACACACACACACACACACACACACACACACACACACACACACATATATATATCAAGGAGATGAGAAATACAATATAATATATTGTTTCAACTTATTTTTAAATTTTTAAAATTTTATTTGTTCCAAATTTTGTGGTAAAAATAAATAGTGCAAGAACAATAGTATGTATATAATATATTCAAGTTGGTTTAGTGTATAAAATAATACTAATGGGAAAAAAAAAAAAACAACATTTCTTAGTTTTTAGGCAAAATATGGGATTCCCGATCCCAATCCCGAATTCCCGAAATATTTAGGGATACCGATATTACCGGGATTTAATAGTATGGGACGGGATTGGGATTTAAAATTTCTATCCCGAATCCCGAAATCCCGATCCCGAAAATCCCGAATTCCCGAAATCCCGTCCCGAACTCACCCCTACCTCTACCCCACCTTTTTTCTTTAAGATCTTATTTGCTTCTTTACTAAAACACTTAAAATACAAAATTACCCTCAAATACTTTATTATATTACATGAATACTAATAATATTTATATTTTATTAACACAACGTATTCTTGTAATCATGATTAATAACTAGTTAAATATAATTATCGTAATTATCATAATAATTGTAAAAAAAATTATTCTCTATTTATATTTTATATGTATATAAAAATACACAAATATTCTTATTATCTCCATAATAAATTATATTTCTTTCATCTATAAAAAAAATTATATTTCTTTTACAACTTTTATTTTATATTATTATTATTATTTGAAAAAATAATTTGTAAATATTATAATAATATTTTAGGAACAAAAGTATTTGAGTCAAATAAGTTTAACAATTATACTAACGTCATGTACTTTTTTGTCATTATAGCAATAAACAGACCTTTTATTTCCAAACACCTGAACAACTTATAAAAACAAAAAGTAACTTATAAGCTACATATCCAAACACCTTAAAAAATAATTTTTAAAATAAGATCTAACAGCTTATCAGTTCCTAAAACATCTTATCAGATGTAGGAGCTTATAAGATGTTTTAAATAAGCTTAGCCAAACGGGCTCTAAATACATGGCAAAAAATGACATGATTTCATGAAAATCGAAACAAAAATATCATGGCTTTTTCGATTAAAAAAATATTATTTAAAGAAGCTTTTAAATTGTTTATCAAGAATAACAAAGCCAAAAATCCACTGGTAATATGACAAAACTAGATAAAGGATGTTTTAGTACATACACTTCAAGACTTTGATGCTACTTCAGATGGAGTCTTGGTAGTCATCTGGTCAACAGCATGCACTCTGTCCTGAAGCTCTTCCCAAATTGCCTTGTAAACCATCCTCTGCCTATTCACTGCAGATTGCCCCTCGAAAGCCGAAGATATAACTTCTATGCTGTAAACATGTCGAGACGGGAGTTCAAAACATAGACAAAAATGGACTATTTTTACGGTTTACCACATTAATGTTTTTGATACAAGGTCGGGTTTTGAGATTAAGTTAACCAAGATTATGAATCTAGTCGCAAGATTCAATAACAATATTCGGATATCCCAATTTAGTATAGGGACTCATGGTAAATGAATAAAACGGAAAACTCACCTGACATGGCGGCCATCACCGTAAGCATCTTTCACAACAACCGATTCTGCACTTAAATGCTCCTTGATCTAAAGGAAACACATATTTACAGTATTTAGATTATGAAATGTCATAGTAGAAATATAAGACGAAGTAAATAATACAAGTGCATATAACCTCAAAGCAAATTTCTTTCTTGTAGAGTCAACAATTAAGTAATGATCATCTAACTCTTGCTCGTTAATGGATTGTCTTTTGCATGAAATAATTCATTTTTCAACGAAGAAGTTAAAACATAAATCAAAACATCTGCTCTGTTTTTTCAGCACGTTATAATGCACAAGTAATTCATTTAGGGTGCAGTTGGACGGAAGGATTTGAAGGAGAAATTTTGAGTCCATAATAATAAATCCATCGATCGTGTTTGGATTGAGTCGTTTGACAAGGAATTTCAAGTTCATAGATCTCATTGTAAGTTATTTTTTTGAGCTACGGTGGATTTCAACTGACTTGGTAAAACACTACACAAAATAGCAAGTGCGAAATCACTGATGCATCCAAATAAACAGCTTACGGGAATGCACGGAAATAGTCAAACACGAAATTTGTAAAGAAAGCAGTATCGAAAAAAATATATTTAATAAAGGCTAGAAGTTAGAGTAGATAGTCCTCTCTTCTCCTATGTTCAGAAGGAGATCCACCAGCTTCACTTAGGTTTTGTACATATCCCTAACACTATGTAATAAATGCTCAGTTCTCCAACACATGTTAACTAAAATACGATGTCTTCACAGTCCTTCCACATAGGTTAGACTGTTATTGCATCAAGTTCAGTCATCTACACAGGTTAACAGTTCCAACTTCCAAGGTTTCTTCACAGCAGTATTACGCATTACACAACCCAGCCACAAAAGAAATTAAATTCTGAAACATTTTAGACTTTTCTGCTTGGTTGGTTAAAATGGATGTAATTTGCAACACTTCATTCAATAAGCACAAAAGAATGTGAAGCGCTGCTGGAGTCTAAAAACGAACTTTTTTTAGATGATTAAGCCGGTCAATCCATTCATTTAGACTCTCGATGCTTAATGATTATATTTTTAAACAGTTTCAGCACTTCCAAACTTCTCCTTGATTTTACAAAAGCTTAATCATTTTCTTTAATGTTCCAAACTCCTTTTCATGGTGGGAAACTTAATTCTACCTATTGGATTAGTAGTCCGAATTTTTTCACTTCTAGCTAAGTTGATTTGCTAGCCTAGCAGTCTTCCTCGGGCAATCTTCACTACATGGACGGATTCGACGAAGGCTTCTCTCTCTCTGCTTGAACCAAAAAAAATTATGTTTGAATAGTACCATTGGATGTGCTTACAGCTTACTTAGTCATCACTTCCCTTCAATCAGCTACTTCTTGTACTACTAACTATTTAATAATTATTCAACTCGTCTGGTTTGAACTGCCCAGTAACTTGGTGAAGTACCTAAACCGAACTAAATTCCCCAACTCAGCTCCTCATCACCAACCAATCTTCTTATTGAACTAAATGTATATTCTGTCGAGAAATTTCCTACCAAAGTAAAACGGTGGCCTAACTAACCTAATCCTAATGTCATCATCGAAACTAAAGATAATTAGATCTGACAAACTCCTATTTGCTAATAGAAGTTCCCAAAAGCAAACTCCGTCTTACAACTCATTTAGAACATGATTTTTTGTGACGGTTCTTTAATAGAAATCTCATTTGGTGTCATTAAAATGGTCCAGATCCACCATCACTTGGCATTGTAATGCTTCAAAAGCTCGATTTTATGCATCATGTAACCTCAGACCTTACCTACTAATCTGTTCAAATTCATTACTAAGGTTTCTGAAACCTTATTAAAAATTGTCGAAAATCATTAAATTCCTGAATTTTCTTTCTAGATGCCCTCAGTCGAAATACATCAAAAAGTAAACAAACTTCTAAGCCGATAAAACAATATATAATGATCAACAAAGATGTGCAATGTTTAACAGCTAACAGTTTCCCCGTTTTTCTAAGAGGTCACAATTCACAAATGAATAATAGAAACTAAAATGTATAATACGAGTGACCATTTGCAATTAACGAACATCACTGTGATTTGCAAAGGAGGAAAACCCTAGGCCCAACAATCAATCGAATTGAAGCAACGTAAAGCAAAAGCAAAGAAAACAGGAGTAGAAAAAAGTGAAGGACCTTCTTCTCCATTGATTCCATCAAAGGAGATTCCATGGAGGCGGAATTATCGGACTGCGTCGTTGCCCGGATGCAGAAACTCCGACGGACCGGAGAAGCAAAGCAGGAAAGGGGAAACTTCGCCCTAGATAACGACCGGTTAAAGGTCGTGGTCGCCGTCATCATCGACACTGTTCCCCGTAGAAATGGACGGCTGCCGACCAATCGGAGGGCCGCCACGTTAAGCAGAGCCTTCGCCGCCATTGAATGAATCTCCGTTCAGTATTGTTATCTCACACTGAGTCTCTCGCCCTTTTGCTGATATGAAACAACTGGCCATTATTAGGACTTGTTAAATGTACTTAATTTTTATTTTACTTTTTATAAATATATATTGTAATTAATTAATTATCAAAAAAAAAAAATATTGTAATTAATTGATTATGTAAATATTTTTTATTCATTTAACATGAGAATGAGACAATGAGAGTTTCATTAAATTTTAATGCTCCGAATTATCTTATATAATTATTAGGAAGCTACGATGCACGGAAACTTCTTCTCACACGTGTTTCCTTCCACGTTTCAGAAATTGAAATTCCACAACACCTGTCGGAAAAGTTTTGGAGCCGTTTCCATAAATATTTTAAACTTTTGAGAATGTTTCTGGTAATAATGTAAAAATGGAAACGCGTTTCCACAAAAAAAAAAATCAAAAACTCATTTCAAATAACTCGGAATTGCATTAGGTTAAAAATCTTAAATCTTCTTTTCGAAAAAAAAAAAAATATCTTAAATCTTATGTCTCTTTTTCACTTTTAGTAGTGGTCTAATTTTGTGTAGATGCTAATTACATACTAAAATAAATAAATATGCCCGAATCAAATTGTTGGAATGATAATTCGGATTGGAAACTGTAAATTATATATATTTTTTTAGATACAAATATGTAATTGACGTTAACATTATAATATTTTTTAGAAATTATGAATGTACTCCTATATTTTTAATATTTACACGTTTCCTTATATTTCCGTATCCAGCGTTTTGGATAAAGATGTTTCTTTGTGTCCGTCTTTCCATTTCGTTGTGTCTGCGTTCTCGTTTCAGTGCTACATTGTTATGAATCTAAGGTGATCAAATGAGTGATTATGCAGTATAAAATCAATACACACACTCATGCACACAGATCACACACACACACGCAGTAATCAAAGAAGAACAATGAACAAGAGCAAATTTTACGAGGTTCGAACTCGGTGTGAGTTCTACATCCCCGGGAGCAGCACACTCCAATCCACTATATTCAGAGATTTCTACAATTACACGTACACAGCAACAAGATCAGATCATGAGCACAAAACCAGCTCAGATCTAACAGAAACCCTACCCAAACCCGAAAAGGAGTTTCACTCTCTCTCTGCTCTCGTGTTTCCCAGTGTAATGCACTCTCTCTCTAGTGTTGCTCACGTTGCCTTTAGCACAGCAGATATGATGCTATATATAGCCCAACCGAGGCACATGATCCCATGTGCCTTCCACTTATATCAGCCAATGAGAGCTCTTTCTTTTCCTTCAAGAATCAGCTCCACCTACCATCTACATGTGCAGCTCACGTGACCATATGCATGTGCAACTCACATGCATAATCACAAGTGGATTAAGTGCCATAAACCATAGATTAGAACCATAGTTTAACATACATAACTAGGAAGTAAAGTCTAATTTTAATTTGAAAACATGGTTTGTTGACTTGTTCGTTCAAATTAAGCCGCCCTAATAGTTTTCCGGTCTTAAAAAGTATACCACAGACATATTTTAGTGACGAAATTGATGTTTACTAGTACCAAATTTTGGGAACGGAATTTTCAGTCTTCTTTTGTTTCAATTCCAATTAATTTTAATTTTAAAATAATACTTTTCTTTGCTTTTTCGGAGAGTTTTAATACAAAAAATTGTTTTTATTATTTTTTATTTTAATAAACAACATTAAAATTTTATTTTTGACGTGGAATGTTCTAACGTGTGATGAAAATGCACGGCATCCCATTGGTTGCAGTATCGTTCTCTCTCTTCATATCTTATCACTTTATATATATATATATCAGTAGAAAAATCACAGTATCTCCAACAAGGTTCTGAAAATTTGCAGAAAAGCGAAGCTTGATTTCGATTTAAAAATGGAGGCATGGTTCATCATCGTCGTCTCACTCTGCATCTCCGCTCTCGTGGCATCCATTTTCAATCTGCTGCCGTCGTCGCGGCGGAAGAGAAACCTGCCACCTGGACCTCCAATTTTCCCGATCATCGGAAACCTACTGTGGCTACACAAGCCCGTCTCCCACATCGAGTACATCCTCCGCCGCCTGAAAACCCTACACGGCCCCCTCATCACCTTGACAATGGGCCGCCGCTCCCTCATATTCGTCGGCAGCCACTCCCTCGCACACCAAGCCCTAGTCCAGAACGGCGCCGTCTTCGCCGATCGCCCCGCCCCTCCGCCAACCAGCAGAGTCCTCCACAACAACAAAATTCTGAAAACAATCAGCTCCTCCCCCTACGGCGCCACGTGGCGCCTCCTCCGCCGCAATCTCACCCAGGAGATCCTCCACCCCTCCCGCGCCAGGATGTACTCCGCCTCCCGACGCTGGGTCCTCTCTCTCCTCATCCGCCGCCTCACCGACACCGCCCAATCGGAATCGTCTGTGATGCTGATCGATCACTTCCAGTACGCCATGTTCAGCTTGCTCGTGATCATGTGCTTCGGCGACAAGCTCCACGAGAACCAAATCAAGGAAATCGAATCAATTCAGCGCAGGCTCATTCTAGGGATACGCCGATTCAATATCCTCAACCTCTTCCCACGGTTGGGGAAGATTCTGTTCCGCAACCGCTGGAACGAACTAAAGCAATTACGACAAGAACAGGAGAAAATACTAATCCCCCTCATCAAAGCTCGCCTCCAAACCAAGCAATCCAAGGATGACGACAAAATCGAAATCGTCTCGTACGTGGACACATTGATGGATTTGAAGCTCCCGGAAGAAGAAAACCGGAAACTCCAAGAAGATGAAATGGTGAGCATGTGCAGCGAATTCCTCACAGCAGGCACAGACACCACCTCCACAGCTCTCCAATGGATCATGGCCAATTTGGTAAAACACTCCCAAATCCAAGAAAGGCTCTACCAAGAGATAATTAGCGTCGTTGGGAGGCGAACCCCCCCTCAGCCCGACACAGAGGAGCCGGAGGCGGAGGCGATGGTGGAGGAGGAGGATTTACGGAAGATGCCGTATTTGAAAGCGGTGGTGTTGGAAGGGTTGAGGAGGCATCCACCGGGTCACTTTGTTTTGCCACACAAGACGACCCATGATTTCGAATTGGACGGGTATACGGTACCGAAAGATGCGGTGGTGAATTTCATGGTGGCGGATATGGGTTGGGATCCAAATGTGTGGGAGGATCCGATGGAGTTCAAGCCCGAGAGGTTCTTGGAAGGTAGAGATGGGGAGTTTGATATAACGGGGAGTAGAGAGATAAAGATGATGCCTTTCGGTGCAGGGAGGAGGGTGTGCCCTGCATCTGGTTTGGCAATGCTGCATTTGGAGTATTTTGTGGCTAATTTGATATGGTGGTTTGAATGGAGGCCTGTTGAAGGAGACGAAGTTGATCTCTCCGAGAAGCAAGAGTTTACTATCGTTATGAAGAATCCCCTTCGTGCGAAAATCTCTCCAAGAAAAAGTGATTAGAATGTTTGCAGCAGCATTGGTCTATATATTTTGTGTCGGTTTCTTATTATATACTATTTTTTTAAATTTAAACGAGGGTTTATTTGATGCTACACGCGGTGTAACATCTTAAGTAATAAAAATAATAATAAAGAATTAAAAAGTGCAAACACTATAGCATTGATTAATCAAGAGAATCTCAGAGGCAGTTCACTGAAGCTGCATGTATGTTAACAGTTAAACACAGTTTACATTCATGCAATAACAATTTATTTGCAAACGAAAAAAAAGGCAGAATCAAATTTCTGAATAGCGGAACGACATACCAAAACTTAACGACAGCCCAAATCAGACTGCAACCACTCCAATTCCGGAACTCAACGTCGCTTCGACCTGGAATGATTATGCAACTCGAGAAGCTGCTCAAGGGATACGAGGGACCATCTATCATCTGTTTGGGCAAACACCTTTTGATTTAGAGAGTCAATTATTATGCTTATGTTACCAAAACCATATATCTGATGCCCGTCTTGTGTTCTTCCAACTTTAGGCTTGAACAACAAACCATTTTGCTGAGCGTGGATTTCGATAACTTCTTTCAAGCTCATCTCGTGCTCCCCATTAGTGGAGTCTGCTTGATTTCCACTGTCGGCCCGTGGTTGAGCTTGTGCTGCAGCTGCTTTCTTCTGAGTCTCAAACTGCCTCTGCTCACGCACTCTGAGATAACTAATGTTCTCTTTCAGACCAGGTGGCGCCACCTCCATGCCTTCAACAGCTTGATTCATCATGTCTAGGCCGAGGTTGAGCCTGAGACGAATATGCTCATTCGCCTGAAGTTCGGGCGGGAGAAGTTCTTTCCAGCCAAGATACCACTTTGTCACTTCCTCGAAATTTGGTTTCGAACATAACCAATGATACAAGACTTCTTGCCACTTGTTGAAGAAAATGTCCATCAACTGCAGCATGTGATGAGTGGGAACTGCGGTCGCCCATGTTCGAACCCAGTAGAATTGGTCGAGATTCTGATTCGCTGGATTTATTTGTAATTCGTGCATGACGGTCAGCAACTTCGGAATGATGTATCTAACCATTAGGTGCTCCCAGCTGGCAGTATCGAACACAGATTTCCAAGGAGACAGTATGTAGTACGCAGACATATCGCTTGGGTGCCAAGCATGAAGAACGTTTGCCAGTCTATTACGTATCGTGTGATAGCAATTCTCTAACTTGTGTCCCAACAAAGGTAGCCATGGATGGATCCAGGAATGGATAGGAATGGTTTCTCTACGCGGATCCCAAGAGTCAACGGCAGCTGATATTTTCGGCATAATGACGTTGTCCAGCATGGACTGTAGGACCGGTGGAGGCAGAAGCTGTTCCCAAGACTCCAAAAACCTAAGCATGGGCTCTGGGTCCCGCGCCTGCCAAGAGTTGGTGCCAGATATTCTCACAGCAGGGAAGATAACTTCCATGAGAAGCTGCGTGTATGGAGAGGCTGTGGCGGAAATACTGAATGAATCTTTTCCTAGTAACAATTTCCTCCACAAAGATACCACCTCAACTCCATGAGTTGGATTCTGAAGTGGATCCCATCCCTGAAATATTCTAATAAATAAAGGCACGGCATATGAGCATGCGATGCATGATAAGTTGCATATTGTATAATCATCTAAAAATCTTTTCTGCAGATCCCCAAAAAATTTAGCAAGGGTTTCAAGTGTCAGGGTTCCCGAGGAGCTCATGCCGCCTATTTGGTCCAGCACACTTTCTATCTCTTCCATGTTTTCAAGCTGCTGCTTCTGATGATGTGCCTCCTTTTGCAGTCTCTCCTTTTCCTTCTGCAAAGCAACCACAGTCTCTCTCTCGTTCCTCAAATCTTTATCAAGCCTTTGTATGTCAAGCTCCGCTAAATCAACTACCAATCTGATATTATGCTGAAGTTCGGGCATTCGAACACCGTTCTCCCTGGCTTCATCTTCAGCATTCAAGTTCTTCAAATCTGAAAGAACCCGTACTTGTGGTCCTCTCATGTCAAAAATCTTCTGACTAATTTCGATACCTCGCTCTTGCTTCTGGGCCAGGAGCTCTTCAGCTGTTACGTAAACCTTCTTCTTCTTCTTCAAATCTTTCTTTGACCAAAGGCTCTCTTTCGAGCGACCCTCCGAAGATTGACTGGGGTGTGGAATGGATTTTTCTTCCAGTTCCTGTAATACTGGACGAGCAGCCTCTTTAGGTTCATTGAAACCCAAGCCCGAATTCTTGGGACGCAACTTGACCTCAATAGGAGTAAGAATTCCCTGCTTTTTTATACCAAGCGCGCCTCCTTGATAGCCCATCTTCTGGATCAGCGTGTATCCCTTACCAAACGTCTGATATGCACCAGCACCAGCCGAGTCCAATTCTTTTTTGCCAGATGACTTCTTGGCCAGCACAGACTTGTTCTTTTCTTCACGCCGCAACCGAGCAGCTTCCTTAATCTTCTTCCCAAAAGCAGTGGGAAGAATATCTTCCTCCTCATCCTTCTCTTCATGTGTATCAACTTCCCGATTCGCATTCTTTGAAGAAGCATTACTGAATCCAATCCCAGCAGAAGCCCCAAATCCTAAACCAGCAGGTCTGGTGTCATCTTCATCCATCAACTCACTGTCATCCTTAGAATTACGATCAATCTCCTGCCTTGGCATGACAGAGCCAGAAACAAAATTTACAGGCTTGGAGTAGTCGGTCTTCTTGTTAAGATCTTTCTTGCGCTTCTTTGATCCCGATCCTCCATAGGAGTCGGAATCACTATCACCGGTGGCGAACACACCGTAGAGAATATCATCTTTTGTTTGACTTCGCTTTTTTCTGCGTGTCCCGTAAAATTCGCCACCAATCCACTGACCATCTTGGTAATCATTATCCATACCAAACTTTTCCATCTCCTCGTTTTCATCCATCTTCTAATAATTCAGGTAAGAATACATAAAATTAAAAAAAATTAAATAAAATTCAACAAAAAACTATTGAGTAGGGTTCGAATCAAGCTAAATTAGAAAAATCAAATTTCAGTTTTAAAACCTAGTTTTTTTTTCCAAATTAAATGCTTATCGAAACATGCTCTGACGACAAATACATAAAAATCTGAAATCAACTGAAGCAAACTGCAACGATCAATTTACTCATACGAACGAAAAAAAAATCAATTGCGCAGTAGATTAGCCAAATAACTTACTTGAACGAAGCTGAACCGCTCTTATATGTCGGTAATTTACGGGAGTTTCTCTTCAATGGGTGAAAGCGGAGGAGGAAGACAACGAGTAGTTTCTTCGGCGGCGCGGGGATTAATGTATAATGAAATATAAGTAACCGTTAAATAAGCCCTAAAATTGAAGGAATTTTGAATAGGTAAAACATACGGGAAATGGTGTGGAACTTGTTCTCTACCACCACTCCTCTGCCGTGATTCGTGAACAAGAGATTCACCGTCGAGCTCGAAGTAATGGGGGATATCACCGTCGCGGCGCCGCCGTATTTTGTTTCTTTGCTCTGTTTGCCGATTTGTTTCTTTCGTGCTTCTGCGTCTCTTCTCTTTTTTTGTGTTGTAGCATCAGAATGCAAAATTAGTATTTAATAACTAATATAATGTTTGTTTTTATTAATATATTTTTAATATAATGTTTGTATGTTACAAAAAGGCGGTTCTGAAACTCAAAATTAGTAACTAAATTACGAACGGTAAATTACAACATCATAAAAAAAGTTTAAATTACAACCACCTCTAATGTGTGGTTAAATTACAAAAACCCCCCTCTTGTTTGAATAATTACATTTACTCTCAATTATGAATTTTCTTACACCTCCACCCTTATAGTAATTTGACCATACATTAATAATTGGTAATCCATGAGTATAAGAATCAAGCTCAAGCAAAGTCTGGTTGAATCGCCAAGATTCAATATAAGTGAGAAAGATATGGATGAATCAATGAACACTGCCGACAATCTTTCTCAGGCAATATCCAATCCTAATCCTCCTGGTGATTTCAAGTTGGACCAGAAAAGTTAACTTAAAGAACTATAATTCGTGTCTTGAGTTTTGCAAAATTCAAACTCAAGTTTAATCCCACCACCAATAGTGAGGGGAGAACAAAGGTGGATAATGATTTCTTGTTGCTAATTTGATATGGTGGTTCGAGTGGATAAACGTGACCAAACCGATTCAAACACGCCGACTGATTTAGAACGACGACATTCTGGTGGAGCGTAAATCATACCCAATTTGAGCAATCAACGGAAACTTTTGCTCGGTTCGATGATATTATAACGATGTTCAACTGTAATAGATGTGCTGTTGAAACCGACAAAGTGATCAAACAAGAACAAATGGAAAAGAGAGTGCAATCTCTAACACATTTCATGCCATCCCTGTGTCATCTCATGTACTAATTTCATTTTAAATATTAAATAATTTGCTTCATAAGCAGCAACGCCCATTCAATTCAATCAAGTCAACTTCATCGCAGCAAAGGATTCCGCCACATCCATTGCAGCTTCAACGCGAGACGAGTCGCTTCCCTGAAAGAGGGGTATTACAAAATATAAGTGGTTTTTTCTATATGAGAAGACAACCATTCTTAATTAGCTGTTAAGAAGAACGAACATCACAAACTCTATGCATTAAACACGCGTGCTCATGTACGGAATGTGGAAATAAATATAAATTAGAAGCACATGGTCCGGTCCATATTGAGAATATTTTATAATCCTTTTTTTCCGTGTTCACATTATATTGCTTTTTAGCCAAGATGTATTGATTTTGTCAAATTCGTTAACCTACTTTTGCTCGTATTTTTCTCAACACCCAAATTGCACAAAAATTGCAAGTTACACAGGAAGGATCTTTCAAAGTGATTCAACTAATTACAGCTTATTCAAAATCATTAGTATTATCGAGGGACCGTAGTCTAGATTATTAAATGAAAACTAACGCTTTCCATTTCCCAGATAAGTGTGATATGATTCTTAAGGCCAATTTAAGTAGTGTAGATTCTCAGTATCTTATTTTTCTCATTATTGCCAATTTTGCTCCGCGGTGCAGCAAGGTATGTATTTATGTCATATCTATTATTCGTAAAATCACAATAGCTAATTGAATTCAGAATTGCTCACCTGGCCTTGAGCAAGACCACCTTTTCCTCCTCCACCTTTTCCATTTATCAGGTCCAAAACTTTCTTCAACCATTCTGTCACGTTCAATTGCCCGTACTTGCCATCTTCCGGTACACCAGCACATACAAAAGCCTTGTTCACCTTTTCATCTATGCTAAAGACCATAACTGCCATCCCCTGTTTTTTCCAACAAAACAATCGAAAAAATTAGTGCAGTTTCAGATAACTTTTGAAGTCATATCACAAGTAGGAAATGAATAAATCGTTTAACAAGCAGGAAGTGGCTGCAATACCTTCTTTTCCATGACTTTGACAACTGCCTCCCGAATGGCAGTAGTATCTGCACCAACATCGACAAGTGAAATGCAGAAGGTCTTTCCATTCGACAAAGCACCTTCAGCTGTTTGGGTGGCAACTTCAACAGCTTTCTGCATATGCTCTTCAGCTATCTTCTTTTTGGCTTTTATCACTTGGCTCTGAGAAAAAATATATGGTTCATTTTCTATATCTATCTATCAAACTCAAATTATGTCAGAGAAATAAAAGAAGCCCGGTGACGAGTACGTGTTTTCACCAAGGTATACAATTCAAGAATCAAAAAGAACTTTCTGGAGTACAAGCATTCATTAGCAGATTAACAAGATTTGTGTTTTGATTCTGCCATCCATTTGTGTTACAATGGCCACTGTATCTTCAGAATGCAACATATTCGTATATTTTTATTTGTCGACAATTCCAAGCAGCACTTTCTAAATACGTTTCAGAATTAAACAAGGAAAGAATACCTGAAGCACAGAGATTTTGGCCTTGAGATCAGCTTTCTTTGCAGAAGGGATAGATGCTCCTTCCACACGACTATTTAAAGAAGTTACTTTCTGAAAATCATTAAAGGAAAATTGATTATCATGTTGGACAGAAATCAGAGATAAATAAATTCTTTACTTTTTACACGGCAAAAAAATGAACTATAAAAAAGAACAGGGTAATGCTCACAAACAAGTATCTTTTGTGTGGGAGATATGAGGGGAGTGTCAATGTGAAAAATTAAGTGACGAGACAATGCAATTCATCATACCAACCCAATAACAAGAAGGGTGCATATTGAGAACAAAAACCTTTCATAAGTACCAGATATTAATTTTTATAACGAACTAGAATGAAAGCTATCACCACCAGCTATTCTCACTACACGTCTAAGTGCTAACAATTATCAGTCTACATAAATAAAATTGAAAATACAAGAACCTGTTCCAAGACGCTTCCTTCAGCAATTGAAGCTTCTTTTACTTCTTGCTCAAGTGATGAAGCAAGTTCCAATGCTTTGAAAGCGTAATCTGTTGTAACAGCTGTAACTCTACGGATTCCTTTAGCAATTCCTTCCTCTGACAAGAGTGCAAATGCTTTGGCTTCCCTTGTATTTGATATATGTGTCCCTGAACAAGCACAATAACTTTACCACCCAACACTAATTACCGTCTACAAACAATTAATTCCACAATATTTACCTCCACATAGCTCAGTAGAAATTGATGCCCATTCTTCATTTTCAGGTTTTGAAAGTAGATCCTCAACTTTACGTCCGATTGCCACAACTCGAACAGGGTCAGGATATACCTGCATGTATAGAAACAAGCAATGTATACAGATACTTAGACACATAACAAAATCACATAAAATGCTTCAAGGGACGGATTTGAATTTAGGTTATTAGACACAACTTTACCTCCCCAAAAACAGCTCTTAGACCATATATGCGCTTGGCATCATCCAGCTTGGTCTCCTTTGAATACACATCCAGTTCAGCCTCAATTTGTTCATTTACAATTGATTCAATTTTTCTAAGCTCCTCGGGCTTCACAGGCTTCCCTGTTTAAGTTTCTCAAGAGTATTAGTTACTCATCTAAGATACCTTACTAAGAACAAAAAACTTACCATGAGAAAAGTCAAATCTCAATTTTTCTGCAAGCACAATGGACCCTTTCTGGTCAATATGATTACCAAGTACTTCCTGCAATATTACAATGTATTTTATGATTAAGCTTTAGATAAACGAAGTAGTAGCTTGCAAATTTTTGTTTATGATCTTACCCTTAGAGCAAAATTTAACATGTGTGTACAGGTGTGATTGGGAGCAATCTGCCTCCGTCTATCATAGTTAACCTACTCAGTCCAACAAGAGAACAAATTAAACGTGTAAGCAAAAGAATAATTTACATTGTATGTTGAAAGATTGAGTTGAAGTTGACACATATAAGCATGAGATGGGGAGTATCACCTTACAAATTACTTTATCGCCAATATACAATCTGCCAGTTTTTCCACTAAAAGAACCAATGTGAAGAATAAACCCACCAAAGGTCTGAACATTACTCACTTCAAAAGGTCCATCAGGACCTTCAAGTAATCCAGTATCAAATATCTACAAGCAAATAACTGAGTAAGTCAATATACAAATAAGGTGTTCCCACATCTACAGACACCAAAATAAAGAGGTAACTAATAAAGCGAAATAGCAGTACAGCTATAATATTACTACAAGTTAGAAAACTTCACAAAGAAATAAGTCCGGTTCAATTTGTGCTTATCATCAACTACAAGCTGAAAGGTTAGTTTCTTTTATCTGCCTTCATTAGACATCAAGCATAACGTTTATAACCCTATACTATAGCAAGCAATGGTGACTAATTAACTGATCTCAGGGTAAACCGTCACAACTCCAGTTTAATTGATTCCTGTAAGAGATGAGATCGAATTTCTCTAAGAGCAAACTCGGAAGCATGCCTTGTTCATTTCATCAATCCCAACTTTAATGAATTTCAAATAATATTCAACTCATCCAACTTCAATTCATTCACAAAATCAACAGCCATATTGTCGCGCTAAAAATTAATATATGGCCTTTAAAATAATCAAGATGAAATACATTGCAGATGACATCGAAGTAGATGTTTACCTGACCACCTTGCTCAGCATAAAAGCTAGTACTTTCAAGGATTAAGCCCACTTCTTCACCAGGAGCGACACTTTCCAGGAACTCACTTCCTGTGTAAACAGCCTTTATCACACTGGTATGATCCTAACCATCAGAAGAATCAGATTTTTTAGCAAATCTCATATGTGTGCTAAATATAAACAGTCAAGCATAGATGGGGAAAAACTGTCGGTACATGTGCAAGCATAATATATGAACCTAAGTGACTGGCTGGGTGTTCTACAGTTGCAGACTTGCAGTCTCCATCAAAATGGTTGATTCGATCATGTGAGAGAAAAAATGTAATATTTTAAAATCATATAAGAGTATTTACAAATTGGAAACCTCAATATAAATTCCATTTTAGTCCATCTAGTAATCATTGGAAAATCAACCAAATCCCATCTAAATAGATGGGCTGCAATCAAAATACTAAACAGCAGTATGAGGGGACAAATTTTCTAATGCTTCAAACAGTTAAAATGAATTCAAGTTGGATGATCGAGTGCATTAAAAAATGTTTAATTTTAAGAATAATGGAATTGGTTGGACTAACTATATACTCTTCCATAACGTTTAATATGAAAAATTCAAAAATCATGTCTACAAAGAAACAAACCTGAAACCATGTAAATTTGAACGAGTCATCTGTTGCAGCAATTCCTTTCTTGTGCATAGAGGCTGTGGCGTCAGCATCCATACCAATAGTACCACCAGCTTGCTAAGAAATTTTAGAAAGGAAACCAAGAAGCTTTTAGACAACCCTGTTCATAGGGATCACGGCTCTAATGTTTTGTCTATTGATATTTATATATAATGACATCCGGTCACCTTATTCTGAGCTCTTCTTGATCTTTCCCTGGCTTTTTCCATAGCTGTATTGAAGCCATCAACATCAACAGACAAGCCTCTTTCTTCAGCCATCAGCTGATAGACACAAGAAGTTAATACAAATTAAGGTAAAAAAAATTTGTCACCTAGAAAGTAGAGTTGCCGTTACCTGAGTTAGATCCAAAGGAAAGCCATACGTGTCCCATAAGTCAAAGGCATCCTGATATCAAATAACAAATTGCAGTGAGAGGCTAAAAAGGCAGCATTTGGTAGGGATTAAACACTAACTTCCTGAAAATTATCGAGTAGAGTATTGCTGATAATCACAATTGCGCTTCAGAAATTTCTATCTTTTCAACTAAAATTAATTCATAGGGTGATATGAGAAAAAAAGTTGGGAGCAAAACATGGAAGTTATCTACATGGACAAGGAAATAGCAAACTGAAGAATTCAAATTTGGAGTTCTCTTGCTCTTTAGAAGTGATTCTTTTTCCTTGAATCAAGCAATTCTGCCTAGATTTCATTGTTAGTGAACTGAGACTTCCATGGTACGCTTTCCAACCAATCATATATACTAGTCAATGTATCAAAGGTTTTTATTTATGTTACTCTTTTTTAATCAATTTGGTCATCAGGCATATAAATCATCATGCTTTCAGTTGCTTCCTCAGGCAAATAAACAATTAAACCTCTTGTTTTAGTTAAATAAACTTTTGGGTCAGCATACAATGGAAATCATAATTTTTTAACTGTAATGATAAGCTTTCAGTATGATAAAGCTTGCACAGGCATTCGCAACAAACAATAGAATAAAAGCACCACATATATTTCAATAAGATAAAGCTAAAGACAAGAAAACTAGTTAACTACTTGCCTGTCCGCTAAGAGTGGTCCCTTGGAGCTCTTGAGCAGCCTTCTTGAATTTCTCAATTCCCTGAAGGTTTCAGTAAACCAATACATCAGATTTTGAATTTCTGAGAGAGAAAAATTCTAATCAATTCTAAACAAATTGATAGTTAACATGGTATGGGTACCAATACAGTCCAAAACATAATAGCAGATAGTTTAGTCATCTACATGTATTTTAAGAATCTTATTCGCAAAACATTTGTAAGTGCAATTGTGACGTCCAATTAAAAATTAGGATAAACTTTTACAAAAGAAAGAACCATAGATTTTGATACCAAACTAAAAAATGATAATTTCAATAAATTTGCTTAAAGGAAAGATTAATCAAGCAACACCAACCAATTGTGTATATAACACAATAGTACAACTGTAGAAAAAGAGAGACGGGAAAACAAAAGTAAACTCCACATACTTTAGTCAATGTCCGGCCAAAGCTGGTCTCTTCATCAGCAATGATCTCCCTAATCTTTGTTGCATGTTCTTTCAGCTCAGGAAAAACATCTGCCATGACCTCCACCACAACCTGTACCAACCTGTTAACAGAACAGTATTATCAATATGACAGAAAATAAAGAAGATTAATCTTCTATTACATAATAAAATTAAAACAGAGCCAGAATTATGTTACAAAGGAAAAAAATAATTGTGTTGCAGATAAAGCAGATCAGTTCTTCCAATGATGTGGCAAGTACATTACGGAGAAAAATCACAACAAGTAGGAAGTTTGAACACTTGTACCCATTGAAGAAGCCTTGCGGTCCTTTTAGGACTTCAGTACCATATCTCACAGCCCGTCGGAGGATACGCCTTAACACATACTCACGCCCCTCATTACCTGCAAATTACCATATTAGCATGAAATCAACAGAGGTACAGCAACCTACTCATTTAATTGTGAACAAATACTTTGGATGAAGTATAGAAGGAAATATGGGGATCTACTTATATGATCTTATCCATTGTGTGTGTGTGTACTAGACACTCACATTCATGAATGCAAGAGGCTGACAGGAGATGCTGACTATACACAAAAAACAAGAGAAAGTTGCTTATACAATAATGAAATGAGTTTGTTGATGGCGGCGATCAAAATGTATAACAAAGACCAACCTGAATTAACTCGATATCAACTTACTGGGAACCTCTACCATTTGAAAACTTTGAGGACAATAAAGAACTAAGTTTATCATAATATTATAGACATCCATAAAAGAAAAACTATAATTTGTACTAAAACGAAATCCTATATCTCCGTTCCAACATTTGATGCCATTTCTTGAATAAATAAGGAAATACAACTACTTTGAGATTCTATGATACTGATTATATTACAACGTTTTACATTTCATCCCATCATCATAGATTATATACGCAAACACAACTATGCAGCTATGTCATCATTCTCCAAACAATTTTTAGAAATAACATACAACGACACCAGGAATTGTTAGCACTATCAACGAAGATGTTTGCTGCTTCAAGCTATCATAATTTTCCATATAAAAAGCTTAAATTTGTAACAACATATTGAATTGACACCATATTAAGCATAAGTAATTCACCTGGGCAGGAACCATCAGCAATGGCAAATGAAATTGTTCTAATGTGGTCAGCCACAACCCTGTATGCCATATCAACTTTGTCCACGTCATCAGGTCCAACTTTGGCAGAATACGGCCTTGCTTTAGTTGCCTGCAGAGATCAAGAACTGCTCAAAAGATATAATACCTTACGCCGGAAAAGAATGTTAAAAAAATAGTACAAGCTGAGAGTAACTTTACAAATTTATTAAAGAACAGAAGAACCTTTCTGTTACTATATCCTAAAACAATTCTTAACGCTGAAAAAATTTAGCCCAGTCTTTCTTCACTTACCTGTTGTATTGCATCGAAAATGGGCATGAATATATCAGTATCGTAATTGCTCATCTTATTTTGAAGTATAGATGTTAATCTCTCAAAACCCATTCCAGTGTCGACATGTTTTGCAGGTAGAGGTTTCAATGAGCCATCTGATTCCCTGTTAAACTGTGATAAGTAGATAAGTCAGTGATGAACACCATATGCAAATGGATAGAACATCCCCCTTCCATCCAGACAAGAATGAAGCACTGACCTGGATAAAAACAAGATTCCATATCTCAATGACTGTAGGATCATCATTGTTCACAAAGGATGCTGCATCCCGACCACCAATCCTATCAAAATGAATTTCAGTGCAGGGTCCACACGGGCCAGTATCTCCCATCTCCCAAAAATTGTCCTATTCAAAGCAGCATAAGAGTAAATATTAGGAAACAAGAGTAAAACAATACATCACCTGGAATTGTCGCAAAACTGAATTCAATGTTGGAAGCAAATAAAAAAATATTAATATGCATATTGACCTATATGGACATGAGCACAAATATATAAAGCATTTTGTTTCAGCATCTGTATGCCGTACTCCAAAGTACAACTCCTGATATGTCAACGGTCACCCACCCACAACTCTTGAATATCTAGTTTAGAAAGATTTTTTTTCTCATTTTCTTGAGCATCAAACTCATATTCAAGATGATGTTCCTAGGAGACCACCTAATTTTATTCAAAACCTAGTTGGCATATTAATAGCATGTTGATGTTTACATTTAATAATCGAACCAGGCAAGATAAGATAACCAATACACTAGTTACACTCCAACTTCTAATGGTACAAGAATGCAGAAGTGCAATGTCAAAAATGTCCACAACTGTAAGAAGTGAAATGATTCATCATAATTCAAGCAATGGCAGTTACATCTAGGATGCTACAATTGCAGACCATAACTGGCTACCTGAAAATTCTATATCATATACCTATACACGTGTAATTTTACATATGATGCAGGGGAAGCAGGTAGAATATGAAGAAGTTATCATACTTTGCAACCAAAAGGCAAGACACGGCTGGGAGGAAGAAATGTAAGCCACTTATCCATCGCTTCAGTATCAGCAGGAAGGCCCTGTTTCTCATCACCGCCAAAATAGGTGGCATAAATCCGCTCACCGGGCAATTTATACACCTGTAGGTGAAATTTGAGGTTTGAAATGTAAGAAACCAAAACAATATTCCATCCCAATGAGAACAGTCAGCATGCATGCAACTTGCCTTGGTAAGAAGCTCCCAAGCCCATTCAATGGCCTCATTCTTGAAATAATTCCCAAAGGACCAATTCCCAAGCATCTCGAAGAAGGTGTGATGGTAAGTATCCTTTCCGACATCGTCAAGATCGTTGTGTTTGCCACCCGCTCGAATACACTTCTGAGTGTTGCAGGCACGGCTGAGTTTGCTCAACTCGGTGTTCGGATCGGCTGTGCCCAGGAAGATAGGCTTGAACTGGTTCATGCCTGCCCAATTACATACCACAACCAAAATTAGAAACAACAAATCGAATCAGTGAATCGAAAGATTTAGAATTACAATAGCTACTCCCGTTCAAATAGATATAACAGATACATAATTACAAGTTGACCAGCCTATTATACGCATCCAAATACACAAAAATGATAGAGATTCTTCCATAATCGACAAATTAAAACCTAAATTACTAAAAAAAAATATAAGAAACGAGGAGTGAAGAGTTACCAGCATTGGCAAAGAGAAGAGTGGGATCATTGTGGGGAACAACGGGACTTGATTTCCAATTAACATGAGCTTTATCCTCGAAGAACTTGATGAAGGTATCCCTAACTCGGTTGGCCGGCCACTCGGAATCGGTCGCCTGAGACCCCATAGATGCTGGAGACGACGCTTCTTCTGTTGGAATAATACACCTACGGCTACTGTATAATCGAGCCGGCCGGAAAGGAGCAAGGTTCCAGAGCGGCCTGGCGGCCGTCAGCAACCGGGAAGACGGCGGTGGTGGTGGCGGCGGCGGGATTGTTTGCAGCCGGCGGAAAGGTAACGCCAAATGAGAAATGCTACAACTGATACTGCAAAGGTTAAGGTAAACCCTCATCCATTCCCCTAATTCTCCCCCACACTTTATTGTATGGTCTTTATAGTAAATGATTAATTAATTAAAATGATTAATTAATTACTCCCACCAGTAATTAATAATTTTAATTACGTCGTCTTCGATACTAATTGAATAATTAATTTAAAGTTGATTTAGGACAAATTGGAAATGGACGACTAATTAGGTTAAATTGGGCCGGTTCTTATGTAATTGGTTAAGTGTCCATGAGTACAAAAGTCAATATCTACCGTTTTGATAATTTATTATTGTAAATAATATTATTATTTTATTAGACAACTGACATAAAATTATAAAATAGATGATTATTTTCAATTAAACTAGTAATACACCCGTGCGTTGCACGGTGAATATAGTGAAGAATGTTGTGTTATATTATGGCACATAATCGAATAGAGTGGGAAAAAATAATTCTAAGAATTTCAGGAAAACCCATGGAGTTTTATCGGAAAAAAAAAGGAAAACATATGGAGTGAATTTTGTTAATGATCATTAAAATAATAGTTATATAAAGTAAAACAAATTGTATTATCTCCAACTGAAAATACAAAATATTGTCCACCAAATAATACAACTATTTCTCTTCAATGCACTTTCATCATCAGTGCAAATAATAACACAATAATAACAAAATAAAAACAAATGTTTAGTTCAAATCAACCATTACTTGTAAGTAACCTGTAAACAAAATTAGATTCTCATTTGATATAAGTACAAACAACCTAAAGGTGTTGGATTACGAAAAATGATCCTTGTATGGACAATAACAACCATCCATTTGAGGTTCTACTCTCTCCATTTAGTACCCTTTTTTTTTCTCAAAATGATAATTACAACCTCCTTATTTTACTCATAATCATTTAGAATATTGTTTAAGAAAAATAAAACATAACGGGATCTCATAATGCGTACCAAATAACTTATAAGCTCATTATCCAAATATTTAAAAAAATAATTTAAAAATAAGACATAACTATAGACCAACTCTTAAAATAGTTTATCATATGTTTACAATAAGGCATAATCAGAAGATGGACTATTCCCTCTTCATTTGCTTGATTTGCACGTCTTTTTTGTTTCCTAATAACTTCAGTCCGGAACTCATAAGCCTGAATGACTTCTGCTAGCTGACATCTGCTAGTTGTTGCTTCAAATTCTATATAAAATACTATGATACTGAAATAATGACAAAAATACACATACATACAAAAGCATGGTAGATATGGTTAAATCATTAAATAAAGCATCAATATAACACTTAAATAGCCACATAATTCGAAATATGTGAGTAACAGGTTGTTGTTTCCCAAATTTCATACATAAGCACATCTATATGTCACTGTTATACTTAAATTTCCACATAATCCGAAATTCACAAGTAAGGGGATGTTGGTACCCAAAAATTTCCTATATAAGCACATTTATATATGATAGGCTTCATCGTAATCAATTGATGAATGTCAATATAATCTAGTATAATGAGCATAAACCTCACTAAGAATACAAAAAAGTTTCTCCTTTCCCTTAATTAAAATTTCTATAACAAAATAAGAACTTGTTTTTTGAATTCGATAGTTCCCACACGGGTGCTAACAGTGAAATCATAATAACTACAAATAATTTGAAATTTGAAAACCTTCGGAGACCTGAAAAACCATAAAGCTCCCATCGATCGATAATCATTATAAGACCCTGATTTTTGGAAGAACATAAAGTCGTAAATATAGTGCATGGTCGATCCACTAACCTTATATGGGGGAGAATTTTGGTAAATCGGCCAATATTATCATCTGCAAGAAAAGCAACAAAAAATATAACTAATAGTATTTGAAGGAAAATAGTGTGTGTTTGTGTAATGCTGGAAAGGGGTAGGGTAGTAACAAACATAAGATGGCATAACCAAAACACTTGACTATCAATTAAAGAACCTATAAGACAGCATACTGAAGCCAACTTAACAATCCTACTACGGATATGAATGTGGCCGACAGAATAGAATCACCTAACTGCAGCAAAACACTTAAAAAGACTATCAGTAATACTCTAAAATGCGGTAAAAAAAAATCTAAAATACAGTAAAAAAAATTATGAATCTAAAATCCAGAATTACTAACTGCTTAAAGAAATCAGAAAAAAATCCAATGAGATGCATTTATAAAATCTGCCCTTACGAAATACAAACACAAACATAAACACAGTACATCACACACATATAAATTGCATTGCACGAAACACATTAGCGCACACACTTTCATATCTTATATGAAGAAATAATTGAAAATAAGAACCCTATTGCTTTTCGCTACTGCTTTTAAAAAACACGCACTACAACAAAATGTAGATGTTGCGACACTTGGTTGGGGACATTTTTTTATAAATGCCTCAAGAATAATTTGTATGGACATTTACAAAATTTTCGTACTTATAAAACATATAAGGACATTTAACTTTTAGAGGCATATTTTTATAAATGCCTTGAGTATAATTTATTGGGACATTTAATTTTTTTCTTATTTCTAAAATATATAGGGACACTTAAGCAAAATAAATAAATAAATAATAAATAAAGAATTTTCTGTTTCTATTTATTATTTTCACCCCAGCCGATCGAGTTCCCAACTCAAACTCTGATGTTAGAGAAAAAACCTACTCTGTGGTTTTTCTTCGAGCAACGGCACAGAGGAAGCAACGGTGCAGAAGAAGAAAAAAGCCCTTTGTTCGAAGGTAATCCGATCAATTCCCTTTGTTACGGTAATGGATTAACGCCCATCCTTACGAACTCTTTTCATCCTAATAATTGAAATCGAAACCCTAAACCCCTAATTTATGGTGATAAATAGTTCAATATGGATATGTTGGCTATTTATCCTCGTGGTTGTTCGACATGGGACATGGTAATTGTGGGAGGAGGAGAAACTGTATTACATTAAATATATTAAAATTTTATATGTTTTAAATTGGAATTTAGCAATTTTAATTTGTTCATGCTGAATAAGTGAAACAATTTTAGCAAAATACTAGTTTGTGATGAATGTTTAGAAAAGAATTAGAATTTTATGATTTGTTCTCTTCTGCCACCAACAAAGAATGTCTCTGCTTCTAATGTAATTCTATTTCTTTGTCTTAATATATATCTGTGTCATTAAGCAGGAAAATGTATTCTATACATTGGGAATTTAGAAACACTCAATTTTCTCATTGCCTGCAACCCTCCGTATTGTATGAATGTGTGTTTTGATTTCTATGTTCTTATAATTTTGACGGTACTAAGGTCAGGTTTTCTACAAGTAAAAGCACCATGTCGATAATTACCTATGGCTTTAAAGATAGCCAATGTCGATAAGTTTTCAGGTAGTTTTTTCTTTCGATTATAGTTCTTTGTAAGCCTAATATTTCGTTTTTGTGTTTAGGGCCCTCAAGGACTATTTATCATTTAATGTTACTTAATTTTTTGTTGAACTTAGCTTGCACATTTTCTTTATATTTTATATTATATTTCATGCAAGAATAATTCTCGAGGGCTCTGATTTAAACTAGAAACACGGGAATAAATTATAGTTTATGTTTGCCTTATGCTTATCTCTCTAGTTATCTTTTTTATTTTTACCAGAAGGTATTGAATCTCACTACCGAGTGAAAACGAGGCAAGAGAAATTTAAAGGGTCTTGAAGTATATATCGATTAGCCTTTTCATTGGTATGTTTTTTTTTCTTGTCTTCTATAACGTGTTTATGTTTCTGAGGACTTAATGAATTGAGATTCTTGATGGTAGGTAAAAAAACACTTCAATGATTCCCCCTACGATTATATTCATGTAATCGTAGAGTGTATATTGGATTGCCCTCTTTCATTGTGATGTTTTCTTTTTTCCTTATTATCTGTAAATTGTATTTTTCTCGTTAATCATCAACTTTTGGTGGTTCTGGCCGTCATATTTGGTTATTAGTTGTTGATACTTAGAGAATATTAATTTTTTTGGAGAATAAAAATGAAAAGAGTAACCGTTTGTTTTTTTACTCTTGCTCATTGACCATTGAATTTCAACAAAGCTAAATAGAACATTTTGATTTATTTGTTTGACCGGCCTATATGAGTTGATCGTGTATATTTATTTATTACTTGGAGGAGTAGAAGTAAGCAAATTGATAAAGTTTGATTTTTAAATGGTCAAGAGTATTGCTTTATATTGTTGGATTAATTGAAGGAGTCGAACATGACAAGTTGATGAAGTTACAGTTTAAATGGTTAAGAATTCTACTTTATATTGTTGGATATGAATCATTCTATCAGTCTTCTGAAGCAGTTCAAATTATTTGTTGTTATCTTGGGTTTTTATTTGATGTACGTGAGTATGTATTTTTGAAGTTTATCTTCTGTTTCTGGCTCTTACTAAAGAGTAGTACTCTTTTAGAGAGATCTTATGTTATTTTGTATTTTCAAATGTTCACTTGGCAGAAATGTTCTTGTACATTAATTTTTGTTTATTAATTGATGTATATTTTTTTGTACTTGCAGGTTCCTTTGTTTTGAAAGATGAATTTCATGGTTGATGCAATCTAGAATATGGTGGGAGCTGGATTTTATATTTTTTTATTTTCTAGTGTTAGACTAGTAGAACAATTAGTTTGGATATTGAAAATTCATATTTCGAGTCCTATGAGATCATGTTGCTTGTCTTGAAGGATTCCTTGTAGTAGTATGTGTAGGATTCCTTGCAGTAGTATCTGTCGACTTTATGGATGAGAGGCACTCAAATTTTGATTAATGATTTTGAGAGTATTCATGTAATGTTTGGTTTTTTTTATTCAAATTTATATGTTGTATGTATTTCTTAAAGTGTTATTTTTACAATACGATTCAAATATAAATATTATAATTAATATTAAATTTTAGAAATATATATATCAAAATAAGTGCCTCAAAAGGATGATTAATCAAAATAGTGAGATTAAAATAGGGTATATATTTGTGTCTCAAAAGCAATCTTTTAGGATATATGTAAGTGTCTGTAAAAGAAAACTTTATAGGGACATTTAATAAATGCCCCAAACGCTATTGCGACACACAACTACGCGACATATATTTTATATGTCCCTAGAAGTATAAGTGTCCCGAAATGTTATATATTGAGACATTTAATTGTGTCAGGAAAGCACATTTTTGTTGTAGTGACGCGGAAGTTAAAAAGTTCATACCCGAAAAAACTTGCTTTTTCCTACTCTTTTGTATGTTAAATTGTCAGACAATTGAAATGTATACAACCTGCGGTTATACCAAATAATAAAGCTAAGCTGTGAAAAAGATAAAAGACATTGATAAATTAAAAGGACCTCGAAAGAAAGCAATAAAAAACATCGGAAAAGTATTGGAAATCACTATAGCAGAATGGTCACTCAAACTTTTCTTCGAAATGTAAATTCAAAATACTATGTCCAGATTCCACGTTGCTTAATTAAATTTCAAACATAGCATTTAACTGAAATTACATGTCAAAATACTAATTTAATTTCTCGCTTCAACAGAATGCTATTGCTTTTTAAACCTAAATTATAGCAAATAAAATCATAACTCATTACTAAACAAATTAAAAGAAAAACCTTAGATAAACCCAATTTATTTGATTACAAATTGCAACCATCCCTCGTATATGGGAGGAACAATTTTTATGCAAATCTTTTTATGCAGCAAAACTATATATTGAAAATTATTGCACTAAAAAAGGGTTGGTAATGCTACAGCATTTGAAACGATTATATTCTTAAAAATTCGAGAAAATAGCATAGAAATATAAGGGGATCATCGTGTAGTGTAATTATTTGGAGATACGGAAAAACTGAATATAAAACTTGGATACGAAGAGTACAAAAGTTGTTTCTAAGCAGCACCAGGAAAAAATGTATTCTTATTTATATATAAGAGTATATATATTCATATATACATATAAGTATTTTTATATAACCAGACAACACATATTTGCAGCTATTCAATCAGATAGAATGACACAATAAAGTCCTTATTGTTCTAGGAAGAGATCCATGGGATACTTATCGAGGATTGATGAGAGAAGAGGTGGAAGAAAAGGCTTGGGATGCATTTTATCCATATAGATATAAATATGCAAACACACTTGAAAATATATATATTCAATTGTGGTTTCTGAATTCACATTTATGATCAAAGTAAATAATATTTTATCACCCCAAACATACACAAAAAAAAAAAAAAAAAAATCTATATAATCATCTTAACCACAAACAGTATATATTACACAATAGAAGAATAAGTATTTATATGTTAATTCAACCAATTCCGTCAATTCAATCAATACTTCCAAACAAACGTACATAATTCAATGCTAATTTGCAAATTATCAAAAAAAAAATATCAGAGTTCAAACACAAAATAAATAAAAATAAAAATGAAACATACCACCTAGATATTTCTCCAATTTTACGCATTTGTCTGTCTTCACAAATCCCGAAATTGGAAAAACTCCACTCGTCTATGATCTTCGTTGATTATAGAAACAATTGGATGCAGAACACTACCTGTTTGTTGCTTTTCGTTCGAAATTTTTAAGGAATTTTACATGATGTAATAAGCAAGAAGCGGAGGAAACTGGATAACGTTAAAGAGAAGATGAACAAATACAGAAAAAAACCAAACCGTCGTCGAGAAACATAGAAGAAGATTTTAGATCATTTACAAAAAAATAAAAAAATAAATAAACCAATAAATAAAAACGACCAAAAGCAAATGACAGAAAAGCCTCTAGGGAAACCAACAAACGGCAATGAATTCTTGCCCCATAACCTGGAGATTCTATCTTAAAAGGGGATTGAATCGGTAAATTAAGCAATTATAAATAAGGTTTTGCAGAAATATGTAGATTTCCGATTTGAAGAAAGAAAACTCAAATTTATGGAAAAAATCATGTCCGATGGAAGTTCAACAATTTTGTTTCGTTCCCAAAATTTGTGTTTCCTCTGTTTTTCCCGGAAGTTTAAACTCTTACTTGAAATTTGGAGCAACGTCGGCAGAGGCTTCCACCGGCAAACAATGAGCGGCTGCTCCACTCACACCTCCGACGGAATTTGAAATCTTCAATTTTCTGTAAAGATTTCTGTGAACGATGTGTTGATGCAGTTGAGGAGATGTGTATTGTGCAGATAAGTTTTTTTTTTTTTCTTTTTTTAATGAAACGGTGTTTTTTTAGATCTGGGCATATGAAGAACCGTAAAAAAAATTATTACAAAAACAGTCCTTAGGACTATAAGAATTACAGAAAATACCCCTAGGGTTGCCTAGGGTTTCTAACCCTAAAATGTGCCACGTGTCAACATATTAGGCCAAGGATTGTCTTTTTATATATATATATAGATAGATAGATTGTTTTGGAATGTATTATTAAGTAATTTAATAACTAATTAGTGACTCTAATTGGATCAGAGTCGTAATGGGCTTAAAAGTCACTAAATTAATGGGATTGATCCATTAAGAGTATGTGTGTTAGATATGTGACCTGATATTAAATACTACCTCCTTCCCAAATTAAGTGGCGTTTAAGGAAAAATCACACAGATTAAGAAACTTAATTAATAGCCTACTTTTTAATAGAAAAGTCCCAAATTACCCTTTGCAATGCTATTAAATGAGCTCTTAGTAAAACTCAACAAAGGTATATACTATTATTCATTACCGTCCATTAATATCACTCTCCAACAAAAGATTACAATTGAAAATTTTAATTTCACTTCTCACTAATATTATCCGCTGCAAAACAAAACAAGCCACTAAAATGAAAATTTTAATTTCACTTCCCACTAAAATTTTTGGAAACATAAAAAGATTTAAAAAATTCACTTCCCACTAAAAGTTTTGGAGACAAAACGAGATTAAAAAAATTCACTTCCCACTAATAGTTGTGGAGACAAAATAAGATTAAAAAATTTCACTTCCCACCAAAATTGTCAATAAACCTAAGTCTGACTTTAATTTTGAGATTGAAAAATTTCACTTGCCACCAAAATTGTCTATAAAACGAAGTCTGACTTTAACTTTAGAGTATAAAAAAATGAGAGAACCCTTAGTTGACATAGATTTAAATATAGAGTTATCAGAAGCTGATACTAACAATGGAAATTGGCAACAAGATCAGGAAGCTAGAATTAATTTACCGGATCTTAATATTGCTGCTCCAGAGTTTGTTAATGAGTATAATCTCAATCTAAATTCTTCGACAACTGAGGTATTTCATGTGGATGATTTTCCGCAAGGCCTAGATGATGTTCCATCCGTAGAAACCTTTGAAGAAGATCGTTTGAATACGGGTACTTCTTCTTTGTTTATTGCTTATGAAAATTACTTTATGTTCGCAAATTAACTCTTTTTATGTTTCAATATTCTTTTCTTTTTCTTTATATTTTTTCTAGTTGACGAAAACATAAATGACGAAAATGAGGAATCGTCACATCCACCAATTGGTCATACGAGGAATTGGAAGAACTTAAGTAATGACAAACGTAGAGCTATCTACAATATCTTACTACAAAAAAGTATCAACGGAAAATTGAAGAGAGGAGTGACAAAGATGGTGGCTTTACAATTTTCAGTTTCCTTACGAACTGTCCAACGCATTTGGAAACAGTCAGATAAGGGTAGAAACAACGATGTATCTCATAGAAGGGTAAGCAATTGCGGTCGAAAGAGAATTCAGATTGATTGTGATCAAATACGTGGGGTTCCTTTACATCGAAGGACAACGTTGGAGTCTTTAGCTCGTTATTTGAACACGAGCAAAAGCACACTGTTTAGGCGTTTAAAGTCGGGAGATATACGACGGCATTCAAACGCTATAAAGCCATATTTGAAAGAGGAAAACAAAAGATCTCGTTTACAATTCTGCTTGTCAATGCTTGAAGGTGATTATACACAACATGATCCACTTTTTAGTGGGATGTATAACATTATTCACATCGACGAGAAGTGGTTCAATCTAACAAAGAAATCAGAGCATTACTACTTGTTACCCGATGAAGAAGATCCACATCGCACTTGCAAAAGTAAAAACTTCATTGCAAAGGTGATGTTCTTAGTTGCTATTGCTCGTCCAAGATTTGATGAACAAGGAAACGTACTTTTTTCTGGAAAAATAGGCGTGTTTCCTTTTGTTACACAAGAGCCAGCGAGAAGGACTAGTGTAAATAGAGTTGCTGGCACCATGGAGACAAAACCGATAACCTCGGTAAATAGAGATGTTATAAGGTCGTACTTGATTGACAAAGTCATTCCTGCTATCAAGGAAAAATGGCCAAGGGAGGATTCAAGATATCCAATATTTATTCAGCAAGACAATGCAAGATCACATATTAGTCAAAATGATGACGAGTTTCTCCGAGCAGCGGTACAAGATGGATTCGATATTCGCTTGATGTGTCAGCCTCCGAACTCTCCAGATTTAAATGTTCTTGATCTCGGATTTTTTGCTGCTATTCAATCGCTACAGTATAAAGAAGCGCCTAAAAATATTGATGAGCTTGTTAATGCCGTTGTCCATGCATTCGAATTTTTTTCGACGGCAAAGTCTAATCGTATATTTCTAACATTGCAATTGTGTATGATAGAGATTATGCGAGCTAAAGGTTCGAACAAGTACAAGATTCCGCATATCAACAAAGCAATGTTAGAAAGAGAGGGTCGACTTCCCGTTCAAATGAGATGTGATCGTGAGTTAGTACAAGAAGTTCTAAGTTTTTTAGGTTGAATTGTTTTTTGAATTCACTGAACTAGTGAATTAGATTATTGTCTTTATCAACTGTTATTCAAGAGCCTTATGGATTTCTTTTTTTATTTTTATTTTTTTAGAGCAAAAAAGCTTTATGGATATAATCAGAAGAATAGGACGTTTGTTTAAAATATTATAAAAAAAAAAAATTCTACTAGAACATTAACAAGATAAACGAGAGTAATAAAAAAATAATTTAAGAGATAATCACAACAAGATAATCACTTCATAAACAATTCAATGCATACACAGACTTTTCAACATGCGGGTCTTTTCTTAAACATGCTTCAAAACATTAAAATAAAGAAAAGGGTGGGAGATGGTGAAGAGGTTGACTAATCATAAACTAGTAAAAATTTGGTAGATATATATTCAGCATGATCCTAACCGTCCGCTGGATTTCTTCTATCTGAAAAACTTCTTCTCCTTCATCGGGAAATTTGTTCAAATCAAATCCACGGTCTGCACAAACATTCAAATCAAAGTCTCTTATAATTTTCTTGTTTAAATGTACTTCTTGCAAAGCTTCCAGGTCTAAATTCACGGTGTTTTCAATTTTTTTAGCATCATGGTGAAAATTCTCAATCTTCATATTTTTTGTTCATATGAGATGTTTGATGTTCAAGTATGAAATATAAACATACGATATATTATGTGGAGTGGACCTTTGAACTTTTCACTAATCTCATTATTTTCATATTAATTGTTCTTGAAAAGAGATAATTAGTTGTATAAATTAATGACTTTGAACAATTAATGATAAAAGGGCAAACTTGGTAAAAAAAAATTAATTTTTCCTTGAAAACTTAAAGTGACACTTAATATGGGAAATTTTTTTTTGGCTAAAATGCCACTTAATTTGGGAAGGAGGTAGTAATAATTAAAAGGGCCAATAGTCCAATTAGAATATTCTTATCATATTAAAAAAAAATAGTATATCAACATCAAATATATTCTATTATATTAATTTGCAATATTAATTTAAATTTTTAAGGGGATAATTGCAGTTTTGGTCCTCAAGTTTATACATTTTTTTACTTTTAGTTCCACATTTACCATCATCAATAAAATGCACTCTAATAGCAACCCCAATGCTAAATATCAAAATTGGATTATCAAATGCTCATTTGATATTTAAGATAATATTTTAAAATACATTTAAAAATCATTTACTCCAACCATGGCTATCCAATTTTATTATCAATTGGATGTTTTTGATAATTTTATATGTAATTGCCAGATGTCAATTTGTGAATGGTTAGTTAGGTGGTTATTTTTTTGATAACTCAATATGCATGAAGTATTTTCAGATTCAAGATGTGAAATATCAAAATATAAACCCATTTTAGTAACCCTTTGGAGAACAATTTTTTTTAAAGTTTAAAAGTAAAATGATAGTTAAGAGATTTGATAACTCATTTATTAACTACATTAGAGTTGCTCTAATGTCGCCGTTTTTAGTCCCCCATTAACCATCACCATCAATAGACGCACGGACTCAATATGTTAGAATGTGACGGCATTAGACTGCATTTTGTTTGCATTTTGTTGACAATGGTAAATAGAGTATCAAAAGTGAAAATTTGTAAACTTGGAGGACCCAGATTGTAATTATCCCAGTTTTAAGGTATCAAATGTTTGTTTTGTGGAAATTTGTAATAAAATATCATAACTTACGAAACTATGATTAACAAGTAACAACCAACCTCTTCAAACATTTTAAAATGAAAATCAAAATATGATTTCGTTTCATCCTTCTTTGACCTATACACATATACATATAAATGTGTGTAAAATACGTATACATCTAATACACATAGTAGAATGTAAAGAATAAATCTAGCGATTGTATAAAGTATAAACTAGATCGATCCGAACTCAAAACATCGAGTTCAACTAGATCTACCCGAACTCAAAGCAGTGAGTTCAACATGGATTCATGCTTAAACAAAAAACGAACAAGTAAATCGATATTTTACAAAAAAATATACCTTGCTCGATGCTTTGATGATCTATGTGGATAAACCGGCCGATTACTCACAAAAAACGGAGGATAAACGTCGATTATTTCTCGAAAATGGAATTTTGAGTGCATTTTTCGGTTTCAAGAGCTAGAGATAATTTTTGGCTGAAAGTGTAAATCCTTTTGGGGCAAATAATGATATATTTCTGTCTGCACTGTTAATTACCACTTGCATTGATTACCTCCGATAAAAACATTATAGAAAACTTTATACAATAAAAAAAAAAAAAAAAAAAAAAAAAAAAAAAAAAAAAAAAAAAAAAAAAAACTTTTTTGATTTTCACATAATAACAAACATAACTCATAAGAGCAACTCCAATGCTAAATATCAAAATTTAATCATCAAATATTTATTTGATATTTGAGATAATATTTTAATATTGATTAAAATTCATCTACTCCAACCATGGTTATTAAATAAATTATCAAATGGAAGTTTATGGGTAATTTTATTTCTAATTGCCACATGTCAACTTGTGATTGGATGTTTACATAGGTATATTTTTGATAACTCAATTTCCAGCAAGTATATTTACATACCAAGAGGTGAATTATCAAAATAGAACCCTCATTTGATAACCCCATTGGAGTTAAAAAGTTCTATTTTTTAGTGTGTAAATGGTGGTTCATTGTTTGAATACCATATTTGATAACCCCATTGGAGTTGCTCTAACACATAAAAAAAAATCTTCATATTTTGCCGATTAGATGATAGAACATACCGAGCAAAAGGTGCATGAGGTGAGAGGGGGGATGCTAACTCACGTGCCTCATTTATCACACGTGTGCCAAGGGTCACGCAATCTTGCAGTTGACATGAATGTAGTCCAAAATTCAATTAAATAATAAATGCCTAAAAAATAAATGAATTTGCTAAATAACAACAATATTAGGTCTCTCATCAATGCAAATTATTTTATTTTTCCCCTATTAATTTCTTTAGTCTGCACACATTTCTCACTTTTCACACGCAAAACATAAATGTACAAGTTTTACTGCAGCGCGTACATACATACAAACCACATAATATAGATATAGATACACACATATATATATATATAATATATAATACGGTGTATAAAAGGACAGAGAGTGTAATATCTGTATTATTTTCTAGAGAGAGAAATACATGTAGAGAGAGAGAGAGAGAGAAACTTGAAACTCGCACCAGAGCAAAAACCATGCCCCTTCGTCTTCTTTCCTCTTAAATTCCTAAAACCTTCTCTCCTGTGTGCTCGATTTTCCTTTTGTTTTGGAAGATTTATTTTGGTAGATTCCTTAATTTTAATTACGGATTATTATTATATTCGAAGAATTAGCGAATGAAATACGATTTATCCACTCCATGCTAATCGAATTCCCGCATTGATTCCGTCAGTAAATAATCTCCATTTAGTGTGCGAGGGGAATTATTTTCGTTTCCTGCATTTTGCCTTAATAATTTTTTCACGCATATGCTTTTCTGTGGGTTAAATGAAACTTGGGGGATTAACACTTGATCGATCGGCGGCAAATTGCCCATGAATAAGCGCAGGGAGCGAACCCTACAATACCTTTGCGATGCCACTCCATATCTATATACCCAGGTATGTTAATTATTTGTCCCCCTTTTAATCTACTCAATTAGGGTTCACTTGATTGATTTTTTTTTTTTATTGCCTTCTAAATTGTAATCTTCTTCTTGCGTTCTCAATTATCGTTTTTTTTGGTATTAAATTTTCAGTTTTTATTGATTTCATTGTCATATTCGATATGGAGTATGTGATGAACTTTCACACTTGTACTTGTTGGCTTCATCATCGACAGGCTAATTATTGGATTTATTTGTGCATCTAAATGCATATTTCTGTTGGTTTCTTGCATCTCAGTTGGAAATTTGTTACAAGATTGAAAAAATATATAGAAGCTGTATGTGATTTGGATGTAATCATAATCCTTGTGCTTTTATGTGGTCCAAAGTTTAGAAGTTTCTATGTATCTATTGTACTTTATCTGTGCCTTTTCAGGTTACCCCAATAATAAGTGGAACATTTAGGATTCAAGGGTCAGTTGATGAAGTGCAAATTGTGATTTGCTGACCTTTACGGAGAGATAAGTATTCAGGTAATGACCACTGTTTGTCCTTATCCTTCCATCTTCATCTCTTTTATTCTTCTGCCCTGACCTCTCTCATTTGTCTGTTATAATTAATGGAAGAGACTTTTCTATTCACATTATTAATGCATGATAGATAATATGAAGGAAAATGAGGCATGATTTCAAAATGTGGCCTAGACTGGGCAAAAGGTCTAGGTCTAACAGGATTTTAGGTTATTCCTACCAACTTGGTTTTGTCTACATGTTTTTGTGCCATTTCTTTTGGATTAGAGGAGACCATCAGTTGCAGGATGAGCCTTATCACTTGTCAGTGACCACTGAAGTTTCCTCTTTTCTAAGAATATCATATGAAGCTGGTTCTCCAGAGATCTCAATTTTACCCGTCTCAGAAAATTATGTGAATAATTTTGGCAGATGTCTTATTTGACATTAAGAGAGAACGTTTGATATAACAGTGTTTAAAAGTGAATTGGAGAATAATTGTATTTGTTCAATTGTCGTATGTGGTCGGGCATCTTATCATTCTTGCCTCAGATTGGTGATTAATACATCCTTTGGATACTTCATATATATTTTTTTCTACTTGATGATGAAATGTGTACATCCTGCCTTTCCCCCTCTCTGCCTCCAACACTCAACCAATTTTGCTTGCTTTATTTTCTTAAATTTTCTGATTGGTACAAAACGAACCCTATTATCATGAATCTTTGTTAATCGTTTTTTAATGAATTACCCTCTTATTTATTATTTTATACTGTCTAGGCATCTGGAAAGAGTAAGGGCTTTGGTAGCTGTTCAGGCATAAGACAAAAGGTTGACCACACGGGGAGGTCTGGCACCTGTAACGTGTGCTCTTCTTCTTGCTCGTCTTGCTTTCATGTTAATAAGGTTCTAATGAAATCAAATGATGAGTCCGGAGAAATCTGTGAGAATATCAAAATTGGCCAACCAAGTGTACCGAGTGCTGTCGAACGCATGAAATCATATTTTGATTCTTTTTCTGATAAGGCAGTAGATAAGACTTCCAACGCATCTGCATCAGATGATAGTATGGGGCAATCAAAGGCAGAGGATCAGATAATTCCAGAAGTGCATGATGATTGTTTGTCACGTGTGAATGGAACTGAACATGCAAATAGAAAATCTGATATCGAGGACAGTAGGATAAACTATGATAAACAGAGAAAACTTAGTGAACAAAGTTCTGACAAGGTGCCACCTCGTAGCTTGCTAACAGGTTCGGAAATTCCTTTTTCAAAAATCATAAATGATGCTATTGACTTACTGAAGGTTCAGAATACTTCTTCTCAAGATCCCAATGGAGAATACCCGTCACATGATGGAAACCCAGGGGTTGCGAGAGGTGATAAGCCTTCTGATACAAAGGGCGAACTGTTGGAAGGCTTAACTGAGCACTTGGATTCATTATCGCCTAAAGGTGCAGCATCCAATGTGGTTTGTGGTGATATTCCTGCAACACCTCTGATTTCTATTGTGAAGAATGATGACATGGAGGTGGAAATTCACTCTGTTGATGAGACTGAAGACTCGGATATGGTGGAGCAAGATGTAAGAATGCGATCCTTTCTTGTCTGTCGAAGATTTTCTCCATCTTAGTTCTTGTAGTAGGGGACCTATCATGACATATTTATGAACTTAAAATTTAACCATATTACTCTAGAAAAATATGTTCTTGAATATCTAGTCTGCAATTTCAATACTCGCTGAGCAAAAGAATTTCATGTATGTCCCATACATTTAGATTGCTGACAGACATTTCCTCTATCATTCAGTAAACAGAAAACTAAAGCTTAACTCGTTCGAATTGAATCAAACTGGAAGATTTGAACGTGAAGGCTATCTTGAATTTCCTGTTTATACTTCATTTTGTAGTGCTTTACGCAGTAAAAAATAATATTGTTGATGTTAACTATTTCCCAAATTTTCCTTTAAATATTCTACAATAGTTGTTTAATCACAAATTTAAAGGATTGACTAATATTACGACTCAGATGTTGCTACTTGTGTAATTAACAATTTCTATCCCTCATCGACATTTAATTGCTATTAGAATGATGTGGACATATGCTGCTGGTTGATTTTTTATAAGAATGTGTACATTAAAAAATGTTGATCTTAAACTTGAATATTTGAAGATGTTCATATTGCAAGTGAAGTATTAATTCTTTTCTGACTCCAAACTAATTTAAGTTTCTTTTTGTTGGGAAGGTGAAAGTTTGTGATATCTGTGGAGATGCAGGGCGGGAGGATTTGCTTGCTATCTGTTGTCGGTGTAGTGACGGGGCGGAACACACGTATGCCTTCAAAACTTTCGATTCATTTGCCATGAATATGTGCTTATTTCTTTATTATAACAATGACAATCTAATCATTCTATGCCAGTTATTGCATGCGAGAAATGCTGACTGAAGTCCCTGAAGGTGATTGGCTGTGTGAAGAATGCAAGTCTGTGGAGCGGGTGAGAAATGGAAGACAAGAAAAAATGGGAAAGGCTGATGAAAAGGAGAAAAATAACTCCTCTGGTGAAGCGAGCAGTGAATATGCAAATAGTTCTGATGCTGAGGGACGTCGAAATAAAGGTTCAGTGAGAACACCTTGTAAAAGGCATAGAGATGATGATGGCATTGAAGTTTCTTCTGTAGGGAAAAAGCCTGCTCTCGAGACAATAGTTGGTTCACCTAAGACCTCCAATCCTAGCAAAACTGCTGCTCTTTCTCGTGAGACTTCTTTGAAGAACTTAGATAAAGGTAGACTACAGTCCTCACACCATTCTGTTCCGGACACAGTCCCGGTTAATGAAATTACAGAAACAGCAGGCACTCCTTCAGATCGACGAGGGCATAATTTTCGAGGTTATTGTTTTATAAATTTTACATTGTCTTACTATTTCTGTCATTGCCTGGAGTATTATTCAATCTTCTTGTATTATTTGTGTATAGTTTGTAGATTTTTGCCCTGACAAGCATCTTAATTTCCATTTACCAGATTATCAACTAATGCTTCCTATTTTTGCAGGTATTTTCTCAAAGTCTAATTCATTTAATTCTCTGAGTTCAAAACCAAAGGTCAAACTTGTAGATCAAGTTGTTATCCAGAGGCAGAAATCATCTAAGGAACATGGCTCTTTTCGTCTTAAGGATGGTGGTGTCAGATCGATAGGCAAATCGATGTCATTTAAATCTACAAACTCTAGCCGATCTGAATCAAAAATAAAGATGTTTTCTCCTAGATCGTCTAACATCCAAGACAATAAAAACACAAAACAGAGGAGCTCATTTGATCGTCAGAGTTCCTTTAGAGCAGAACATGCAATGGTGGGGACTTCGACGAGTTCTACACCAAGAATTGATAAACGGCCAGCATCTCGGGGAGACTCTTCTTCACTTGCTAACCAGCATGAAGTCAAGCCTCACCAAACTGATGGTAAATTAGCAGCATTACCGAGACCGTCAAGGCTTGCAGATCGAAGGACTGCAAATATATCCAGTTCTTTGGGTACAGCTCGATTCACTGTCAAAGTTTATTTCTGATACATTTTGTTTGTCGACTTAATTATGTTGCCCGACCACTCTTGACATGGACAGGTAATTCTGTTATCCCTGAAAAGCCACCTATTGATGCGAATGAAGGTCTACCTGATGGGTCGCCTCGGCCCAGGGATGTATCAAATGCTGGTGAGCGAATGAGGGAAGGTTCTGGAAGCCGATTCGGACCACCATCTGCGAAGTCTTCGAGAGATGAAAGCCATAACCTTAAAGCTATAATTGAGGCTGCTGTGCTGAAAAAACCAGGAGTGTACCGAAGGCATAGAGCTTTCGGTCAATCTGAAGACCGGTCTGTGGCAAGCGTGGGTGGTGAAGTAGCTTCTCATCAGGGTCCTATGTCAAGTTCTGCTAGAAAGAACAAATTTTCTTCTGATGCAGACTTGCATGAGAGGCCTACTGTCTCCCGAAATTTAGCTACTGACCCTCTTAATCAGATAACTCCAAATAACATGAAGCCGTCCTCACTGGTTCCTTTGGAGGGTCTATCTTCTGGAGGGCAAGATGTGTCCCATATTGGCTCTTCCTCAAGGGACATGTTCAGTAATGTTCCAGCAGCAACACCTATCTTGTTGAAATCCTTGGCAATTCCGGAGCATGAATATATATGGCAGTAAGAAGTTCACTTTCACTAACATTTCTGACCTTCACTTGCTTATCAGTTTTTGTCATGTATTATGTTTTATGATCCTGAAACAAGTGGGCTTACTAATGCATTCATGTGCAGAGGAAGTTTTGATATTTGTCGAAGTGGTAAAACCTCTGACTTATGGGATGGAATTCAGGCTCATGTATCGACATGTGCATCTCCTAAAGTTATTGATACTGTGTACAAGTTCAAAAGCCGAATTGTACTCTATGAAGTGCCTCGCTTAAGTACCTGGCCTGCGCAGTTTCAGGAACATGGTGTCAAAGAAGATAATGTAGCTCTTTTCTTTTTTGCTAAAGATCTGGAGAGGTAATTCATCAGTGCTCTACATTCATCTACTATATAGTTCTTATAAATTTGATTTTTAGTTGCAATTTTCTTGTGTTTAAGAGATGTCATGTTGTTAATGCTACAGCTATGACAATATTTACAAAAGTTTGCTGGATAACATGATGAAGAATGACCTTGCTCTAAAAGGAAATTTTAATGGCGTTGAGCTCCTGATATTTCCTTCCAACCAGCTTCCTGATAATTCTCAGCGTAAGTCAAACAAGTTTTTCTGTACTGTAAAATGACCTTTTCCCTGTAGATAAAAGAAAAACGACATTTTCCCCCATTTGAGAACTAGCAAGTTCTCTCTCCGACTTCGTCTACAAGAATACCCTTTTCTATATAAAAACTGAAATCTGATTACCTAAAATTGTCATTGTTAATGAGGAAAATTGTCTCGAAGTCCTCCTTTTGAGGAATTACCTATCATGAGCACTTCTCAGATGATGTTAATTGATGTTGTTGCTTCTTGAAAAAGTTGGGTGTGCCCATGTCAGATGTCACCCTACATTCAAAGCTATTTAAAATCCAATATGGAACACCTTTCACATGGTATCAAACAGATCTTAATGCTACTCACTAAAGTTGTGTAAAGCAGGTTTTGGTAGACCTTTGATTTAATTAATTTCTTGTTTTTCTTAGTGCAAATTGATTTGTTAGTCTTAACTCATCCTTCAGTGTTGTTTCATGCTACAATCAAGGGTACATTGTTTTTATGTCGTCATATATCCGCAGGATGGAATATGCTGTACTTCCTTTGGGGTGTATTTAGAGGAAAGAAGGAAAGTTGCCTGCAGCAGATGCCTGAACCGTTGGATCAATTTTTTGCCTCTCGAGATATTCCCGCACCTATAATGTCCTTGCCTGAGAACAGATGCTCCATCAGGCCTGTTGCTGAGGATTTGCATACTAGTGAAGATGCAGCAGCCCCAGTACTTGAAGTGCCTGCTTCAGATGAGTTACATAGGTTATTGTTATCTAAAGCTGTTAATGAAGACCGTGGTACCATACTGTCTTTTGATCAGCTGGATCATAAATCGAATGCCAGTTCCTCACCTATAGTACGAAGTGAGAGTGCAAAACAATGCCAAGAAATGAGGGCTTCTTCTCAGGTATGTTTATTCCTATCACATATACTGTTTCTAACTAAAGTATTACTTGATTATATTCAGCAGCTGTACTAAATTCAAAAGTATTACTTGATTATATTGTGGTGAAAAACTCACTATATATATATATATATATATATATATATATATATATATATATATATTTATTTGATTTCTATTTTGTATTCCACTGGCTTGTGGCTTTCTCAAATACCAAGTTCTTTCATTATATACCCATCACAGAGCTTGGGAGCACATCACATCGTCTCATATAGAAATTTTCATCTGTCATTGGTTCGTGTCTTGGCCGTTATTTTTACCTGTACTAATCCTTATGTGTCTGTATTTGGTGTTGTCCCTTTCTTGCAATTATTGCAATTCTTAGTAAGACCATGGGCATCAAGATATCGGGATTTCTGTGGCATAATACATAGGGTCCTTACGCTTCTGATATTAACTAATTACTGGCAGTTTTAACATGCAACGAAGAAATCCACCCCTGCAGTTCCAACCAAAGTATAAGAATGGTCGGAAGTGTTTAGCTGTACATAGATATACGTTTATCTGAGATTCTGGGCAGTTCTTATGGTTTATGAAGAATACAGTTACTGAGATGCTATATGTTATATCTTATGATATATATTATCCCCTGTAGGAAGGAGGCATTAGCTGCAGTCTCCCCCTCGCTATGCAAAGTTCCCTGCAATTGGATACCCCTATCGATTTGACTAAATCTGTGGCTCGTCCACTTAATGAAGTCACAGGTGAAAGAAACATTTTTGATAAGACCCGCAATCAAAGTGAAGTTCACTTAATATCAGATAGTGGAGATCTATCTACGGATAGAAAAACCTCGTTGAATGACGACCAGAGAATGAAGAATAACGCATGGCTTTTTAACCACAAGGGACATACATCTCCCGGTTCAACTATTTATGCTGGCACTAGCCAGGTGTCGCTCACGAACGAAGATACAAGGAACGGAACACGAGGAGCACTTGTAGATGTAAGTAATAAGAATTTACTGCCTTGTAAGCACTTATGCGATAATTAAAAAAAAAAAGGAATAAAAAATCTTGTGATTGATGGTTTTGTGTTACAGATGAATCATGCGCCTTTAATTGAAAATGCTGAAAGACACTTCTTCCCTGTGGAGTCGTCACAGCCTGTGAGGAGCATATTCATGTCTAGAGGATCAATGCCATGGAATCTTAACGAGAAAGTACCGGATCTTGAGCTTGCTTTAGGCGGTGCTGAAAGTGAATTACCGACTCTGCCCTTGTTGGGTAGTGAAGTGGACAGGAAAGTAAATGCGGAACATATTCGTGAAGAGGCGGTGCCCAAGGCAGATCTTTCCCTCTCACTTGCTTTTCCTTTTCCGGAAAAGGAACTTAGCACAAAATCCGGTGCAAAGAATGAGCAGCGTGGGAGTAATTCTTCGATGCTTCTTTTTGGGAATTTGAGAGATAATTAGTTAGTAAGTTATTTGTTCGTACTAATATGGTTGTTGAAGTATATATATATACATATATATATATACTGTGATGATCATGTGTTTGTGATGTCTCCTTTCATCGGGTTCTGATGGAACTGAATTTGTAAGATGATATCCACAAGATCGAAATCTTTTAGTTTTCGTTAGGGTCCTATTTTGCAAGCGAAGAATACTAGTACTGAACGGCTGGTTGTATATATATGTAGAGCATAAGTAGCCGGGACAGTGTGTGTGATATTAAATTTCTTCTGTTAGCCAGCCATTCAATTTCTTTCTTTTTTTATTATGTTTTTTTAATCTTATTTCATTTTGTCATTCTTTAATTTTAATTTTAAATCTACTTTTTGGTCGAAATAATGTCTTACAAATTTTCATCCTGAAATCGAAACAGTCATCTAATCTTTCGAATCCCATGGTTAATTAAATAATAGGATTTTGTTTGATATTTGGTGAACTAAATAACTTCTCTGGTCGATCTTGAAATATTACGTTATCATGTCTTATGCTCTTTACGGGATTTTGTTGGACCTTTTGGCGTTCAATAAAACAATGAGATTTTTTAGTTTTATTTTTGCAACCAAACGAGATATGTGAGTAGAAGCAAATGGAGGAGGCAACAAGACAAAAAGACCCTTGTCACCTACTCCAATTGGGCGAAGCAACCGAAGCAATTTGTTTACTTTCTTTGTAAATAGCTACATAATTCTTAACCCAAAAAATATTATTTTAGAAAGAAAAAAAAGAAGCACAATTTTCTTTGTTCATACTTAATTATTATAAGTTTCTTGATAAAAATTTAATTGATTATCTATTTAAATCAAAGTATAGCTATGATAAAACCATTTACTAACTTAAGAGTATGTTCCTTTTTTGATAAGATAACTTAAAAAGAGTAATTGATTCACAAAATGATTATTATTTATGAGACATAGTATATATCCATAAAATAAACAAATGGAATATTTTTCTCCCTCACAAAATCCCATTTCTATTTTTTGCGTGTATAGAGTGTAGTGAACACTCCCACTCTAATCCCTCTCTCTCTCTCTCTCTCTCTCTTCTCTCTCTCATCACCGGCGGCGTCTGTTGATTGTGCATATTCCCCTTCGTTCATTTCCGATGGCCACCACCGCCATAGCTCCTGTTTCATTTTCCGGTAACAATTTCTAGTGCTTTCTTCTGCTATGCGCCTTTCGCTTTCAATTGTTTAGGTTTCCAACGTAATCTGTATCATAATATCACGATAATCATGAATCGGATCCTGCGCAGCTCACACACTTACCACGTTGTCTATCTCTTAGTTTTAATTTGAATTTACAGCGGCGTGCTATACTCTACATTATATCCAAATCATTTGAAAGATTGGAAAACTATTTCCATTTATATCCCTTTATAATTCTTCGGTGTTGCTATATTTTTTGTCATTGAGAATTCTATCGGTTATGTTGCAGGAGGGAATCGTACCAAGACCTGCGGTGTTTTATCTGTAAATTCAGGCGCCTTTGTCAACAGACCGCTGTTAAAACTTCAAAGCAAAACTGGCACCCGTAGCACCGGCAAATTGTCTATTCGTGCTCAATACGAGTATATATTTTTCCCTCGCCAATATATGTAGATGTTGCTTGTTTTAAAATTATAATAGGTAAAAGGTTCAAGAGCTTTAAGTGATGGAAAGAAAATATAGATTTGGGTGTGGGTAGGGGAAACTATATCAAATTGTGACTGAAATTTTGAAATAAGTGTGCTGTAAAAAGATGATGCTGTTGTGCAGATTGGGTATGATTTGGCTGAATTGAGTGTATTATCTATCTCCTTGGATTAGATAACGACAGCCACGATGAATCCATTAGTTCTCTCTTGTTACTTGCTTCTCTGATTTTTCGTTGTCTATTCTGTATGATATTATCTTAAACAGAGACAACCTCATTATGGTTATCAGGTTAGACTAATGCAGATTTTTCCTTTGCCTGGAGTTGCTCCCTTATGAGATAGATCCTTGTCAGTTTGGATACAAAGATATTTTTCTGCATCATGATAAAATGGCACTTCATGGAAAGTTCAACGGAAATAGTATCCAGTGAACACCATTCTCCCTGTCTTTTTCTTTTTATGTTTCCTCTGTGGTTGCTTGTCCTGAAGGGATGTTTTTATGGTTCACCTATTTGTATTCTGGAGTTCATCGTCTTCAAAGGATAAGATGGCTTTTCGATCTATGTCCATATGCTGCTGGAAATATGTTTTCATGATTCTGTCAAGCGTTGTGTGGTTAAAAATGTTAATTGCATTTGGCACGAAATGATTTAAAACACTAATCATGTAATCATATCTGTTCAAAGTAGTGGATGCAGGGGGGGTTCCTTTTGAGGTAAACTATTTGGTGGATTCAGGTTGTCTATTAAACTAGCGTTGTGTGCTTGTTCTTTGTGATCATTGCATTAACCTAAAAAGTATGTGATCAGCATTTTATGTCTTGATTGGGTAAACCGTTGTTACTGTTAATGACTTTTTCCCTTCTACATGTAGTGATCGTAGCAGTGGAAGTGGTGCTGATTTTGCAGCTGGTTTCCTTCTAGGAGGTGCTGTATTTGGAACACTTGCATATGTTTTCGCTCCACAGGTGACTATGTATATTCATTTTAAATATCAAGTTCTATCCTCTATCCCAATATTTATTTCTGAAGCGACTTCAGGCTCTGATTGATGGTTGACATTATAGTAATGGGATAAGGAGATATCTTAGTTCAATAGATATAAGGCACACTATGAGGTTAACTGATTACACGGAACGATAAACTGTGGTAAGCCCAAGTTCGGAAAAACTAAATGCATTGAGATTCAAACACCATATATGCTGTACGTATTAAAAAGGAAAGAATTGAAAAGGAAAGGAGAATGGCTTGGATTAAGTACTGCAATCCAAGAAAGAAGTCAAATTTGTGAAGCTGTTTTGTTCCTATTGTTCGGTTCTTACCAATAAGGGGCTTACATATTGTAAGTAACAGTCATTATAAATAGCACCACTTACTATGGCCAATTAGCCTACTTTCAGGTGAACTACTCATCTTGGTCTATGACCTCTTATTTCATAACCTCCAAAGTCCAAACCATTATTATTTATTCACTGACTTTGTACAAAGATTAAATGATAACTGAAGAGTAAAAGTTATGCAATTGTTTGCATTATTGATGTCGGAATTACCGGTCGAGAGTTGTGATGCCACATGATTGCTTAAAACTGAATGGGTACTTTTAGAAAGGAAAAAAAAATGTTTTAGAAGGAGAAGTCTTATTTCCCAATATTCCGAAACAAAAGGCTAGTGATAAGTAATAAACTTAGGACATTAGGAGGATTATGTGTTTTTGCATAGTAATTGAGTTTAGCTCACAGCATATCTATGTTTCTTGGTCTCTGATGTGATTGAATTGGTTTTGGTGAAAACTTGTTTAATTTAAGTTAGATTGCACCACGGAAGTGCCCACACTTCCGAAACTTGGTTTTACTTGTTCTATCGAGTTGGATATGTACTGTAATCTAGTAGAGAGCATTGGTAATACAATTTGAAACACTCCAAAAAATACCATTTATACTTGGTTCCTGAACAAAACCATTAGTGAATCTATATCATGTGGCCGTCACAAGTTGTGTTATTTACCACATAAGCCCCAAATGTTTGACTACTTAGATGGAATTATTTGCAAATTAAAATTTAGATGCACAAATGCTCCCCGTAAGGTTCTTAATGATACAAGACACATATGATAAGCATCCAACAGGATAAAGCTTATACACGCGCTAGTGTTATGTCTTATATGCTTCATTTTTCATTTTCTGATTTGTTATTTACTTGTATCTTGTATTATTAGATAAGAAGATCACTGCTAAATGAAGATGAATACGGGTTTAGGAAGGCCAAGCGGCCAATATACTATGATGAAGGTCTAGAGGTAATTATGACAAAGTTTCAGTTCATTAATCGTATAGTTTTTGCCTCCCCACTCGCTCAACTCACTAAACCACTATTCATTATCATTCTGAAATTCAGAAAACCAGGCAAACTTTGAATGAGAAGATCAGCCAACTCAACTCTGCCATTGACAACGTCTCTTCCCGGTTGAGAGGAGGTGGCAATAATTTGCCCCAGGTACCAGTTGAGACCGATGCTGAAGAAGCTTCCATTTGAGAGTTCGTTTTCTAACATCCCAAAACGTTTGCTCTTCCGAGTCTCACAAGTTGTTTTGGTCATTAGCAAGATATTATATCTGTCAAAGCAATACTTGAAGAGCAAAACATTCCTTTTTTTTTTTTACAGTCTTGTCGTGGTTTGAGAAACTTAAGTATGAAATAAACCTGAACTTCGTATCATATTAGTGGATAATGTGAGACTTCCTATCTATGGGCGACTTGCATAAATGCATGATTAGTATTCGAAGAATGGATTATACAGTTATGATTTTGAATTTGGATTAAGAAGTGCCAGTGGTATTTACTAGAGATTTTGCTGTGGATTCAAAACCATTGGACTAAATAACGGTAGATTTTGAGAGATTCGTTTAAAATTCGTCTGGAGCAGGATGGATTATTGCTGATATTTAGATAAGTCTGTCATCACTCATCAGTATAAATTTATTGTAGAAATTGTGAGGATTATATTACATAGTTGGAAAATACTTTGAATTATTAATGAGTACTTGATGGTGGATATATTCCCACTTTTGCCACTTGCTCATTGTTGAAGCACAAGTTGTAGTTTAGTTTAGTTTTTTTGTACTTTATTTGATATGTTTCAATCAAGTTGAAGTAGGAAAGAGAAAGCAACTGGTGATGTTGATGAAGCCACATTGGAATCTATACATAATTCCAAAATGACAATGAATGTATTTATATATAATTATGTTAGGTAAATTGCGGCTTCTCTACGAGGGAATGTCAAATTACGAAAAATCCATGATCTTTGGTTTAATCTTATAGATTATGCGGAATATTATTTAGTTTGTCCGTTTTATCCGATTCGAGCCCATAAAATGTGTCTTTTGGCTTGTAAATATCAGATTGTGGTGCATAAAAAAATAATTTTTTGCTCAAAACGAATACAAACTAGAGAACATTCCACATAATTTAGAAAATTCTATTGAATTTAACACCATCAGAGTGAGAAGATAGAGTAAGAAGATGCTAGTAATCATCCAAATAGAAGGATGTTTTTTTTTCTTTGTAATTTAACATTAACTCACAGTTGATCGAAGGTGGAGCTTTTATCATTCTTCTTTCAATGATAAATCTGGAGAATAATTTTTTTTTTGAACATAGGAGAATGATTATTAACCGTAAATGCTATATAAATATATATAAAAGGAAAAAAGAAAAAGGCATATATAACAAAACTAGTTGAATATGAGCCAGGAATGAAGAGGACGAATTCCATACATCCATTGATCCAACGCGAAGACAACAAAAAAAAAATAAAAAATCCACACACACAGTTGTGAACGTAAAACACGTACAAAAAGTGTGGGAATTAGCAGTAAAAAAAATTAACTAAATCAGGGCTGGTTCGGCCGATTTGGGGGAAGAAGAAGTATCAGAAGAAATGAAGAGACGAATTTGATCCAGGAATGTAATATGCTGTGGTCTATCCTTGCGCTTAACGTATCCTTTCGCCACTTTCTCCGTGTAGCAGCTGTACCCTTCCTCCCCGCTCCTCCGCCACAGCGCCTCCGCGTAGCTTCCGTGGGCGTAGTACGCCTCCACGGCCTCCTCCGGCCTCTCCTCGATCTCGATCGGCAGCCTCTCGTAGTGGCCCCTCGTCACCCCCTCCAGTTCGTCCATCCTCGCCAGCGCCGCCGCAGACACCGCGTAGATCTCGCCGGAGACGCGGTCGCCGCGGCCGGGGAGATTCAGGAGGAACGGCACGCGGTATGGCCCGCACACCAGCGGCAGGGTGCGGCGCGTGCGGCAGCAGCCGAGAAAAGTCGCGTCGCCGGTCGCCATCATGTCCTGCAGCAGCGCGTGGTTGGAGAAACCCTGCTTCAGAGTGCCGTACGTGAAAATCAACGCAGGTTTGGCCGCCGGAACCCCCATCGATCCACCGATCGATCAATCTTCTCTTCTCGGAAAAAAAAAAAGGATTTGATTTCTTCAGTGATTCACCAACAATTTGGATTCACCATTTGCAGAATTTGCAGAGAATCAATTATATATATATATATATATATATGTATGAAAAGATGTTGTGTGGGTGTTGTTCTTCTCTCCGTCAGCGAATTGGGCCCTTTTTCGGAATCTGCCCACCAAAGACCATTTCTTTATTGATACGGTGCGCATCTTTTCGTCCGTATTTTCCTTTTAATGATTTTTTTTTATTATTATTTTTATTTTATAATATAAGAGAAGATATAAAAAAGTGAGAGGTTGTGTGTGGCTACTTTTTCGGTAGCTTTTCTTCTTGTCCACTCGTTTTTTTATTCTTTTTTTCAGTTTGACCATCCAAGTTTTAAAAATTCCATGTACGCCCCTCAACTTAACCATTATACCAAATGACACCACCCCAATTTATTATTCCAAATTAGAAAAGAAGAAGGAAATATCATTAATTCTTGGGCTTTACATTGGGCTTATTTTGCTACTTTAGAAGCCCAATTCTTCTTTTAACCTTAAATACATGACGTCTTAAAAACGTATGACATTTATTTTGTCAGAATATCGCATTTATCAATTACCAAAATACGTGTTTATCAAACTTTGTCACAACTCAGATTAGTGTCTACCGCATGCGTTCGTTTTTTTGGATTTGTGAATTTTTTGATGTCGATTTTTTTCACAATTTTTGTTTTTGTTTTTATTTCACAAAAATCACACAAAACTCTTCGTTCTAATTAGAAACCATTATTCTTTCACTTTCAGGACAAAATTTTGAGTATAGTGTTTTTCCCCAATCTAATTCAATATGTAAACTTTTAAAAAAAAGAAAAAGGAATTTAACCATATATTTCTGTACAATTCAATCATACAGTCCTGTACATGTGGCTTGGGAAGTCAACCAACACTTCTTAATAAATAACTTTCATTGGAAAATGTTGGCAAAAATATTATATTTATTTTTTAAATTTTAAATTAAATAAAAAATCTGAACTGAGTTCTATAGATGGTCCCACTGTTTGTTTTACTGACTCAGTTCATTTCCTTGAAGTGTAGACTAAGCTAAAATTAAATAATAAATATTAATATTTAACAAAAAAGAAAAGAGGGAAATGAAAATGAAAGACGTCACTACCTAAAAATAAAAGAGCTCTATAATTTGGTTTAGCTTCGGAGGCAGGCTCGGTTAGTGGACTTTTATTTTCTTGGTGCAGATAAGCACAATCAATTTCGGCGGGTGGCATCACGCCATTAGCTACACTTATTTTAACAAATAATATTAATTAAAATAAAATTTTATATTAGAAGTAAGCAATACTCGAATTTTTAAATTCAAACAAATCCTGCAAACTTGTTTGAATTGAGTCATTGATAATTAATTTTAAATCCATAATCCTCGTTTTTAGTTACTCTCATTTGGATTCATTTAAGACCTTTCAGTCCAAATGTAGCCGTCGATTTTCTGAAAAACGAGATCGATCAATTGTGCAGAGTTGATGAGCATTCAGACATGTCCGATGAGTATATTCCCAAGTAGTAAATTGATGCAAGATCCTAAAATTGAGTACTGACAGCCGCATCAAATAATTAGGAGCGATGCCCAATTATGTAATTACGGAGGTTCCAAACGAATATATGGATTACTAAAAGAGAAAATAAAAAATAAAAAGATACACAATTTTTTGAATAGAAAAAATCCACAAAGAAAGATTCCATAAATAACTTAATCCAATAATTATTTAATAAACGCAAGAAGTTCAAGAGTGGTCCCAAAATTACAAAAATTCTTGAAAGTACCAATCTTAATAATTACTATTATTATTTCTTTTTTCAAAAAAGAAAATAAAAAATATATATAGATATAGATATTTATTTCGCATTGAAAAGTATTTTGCAATTAAATAAAAAAAACTCACACTTTATAGTATTGAAAAAGGTTTTAAAAGTAATTGCATTCAACATTATTACCAGTAGTAGAGAAAACAGAAACGTCTTTGCCCTTTCTCTCTCTTTCTTCTCCAAACAAACTCTCTCTCTCTCTCTACATTCATTTCTCCTCAATTTCACCCAAATACGCAACCCCCTCCTGCAACAAATTACAAATTCAATGGTTAGTAGTTTTGATCAAAATTCAATCAGCTGAAGTTTGCAATTTCATTTCAGCTCATTCCGCTCACGCGCGCGTTTTGATTTTTTGATTGATTGATTTTGACTTTTTTTTTTCAGGGCGGCTGCGGCGGCGGAGGAGGAGAAGATAGCGGCGGATGCAAGTGGCCGCCGTGGCTGGGGCCGCTGCTGGAGACAAGCTTCTTCGGTCAATGCAAGCTGCACGCGGCGGCGGCGCACAAGAGCGAGTGCAATATGTTCTGCTTGGACTGCATCAACGGACCCCTCTGTTCTCTCTGCCTCGATTTTCACAAGGATCACCGCCTTATTCAGGTCAATTATTCAAAAAAAAAAAAAAAAAAAACAATTTACCCAATTTTTCTTCATTTAATTAATCTCCAGTAATTCAAAAAATGTGTTTAATTTTGGTTGCAGATACGGAGATCATCGTACCATGACGTAATCAGGGTTTGTGAAATTCAAAAGTATCTGGATATAAGCGGCGTTCAGACGTACGTAATCAACAGCGCTAAGATTGTGTTTTTGAACCACCGCCCTCAGCCCCGCCCCGGCAAAGGCGTCACCAACACCTGCCTCGTCTGCCACCGCAGCCTCCTCGATTCCTTCCATTTCTGCTCCCTCGGCTGCAAGGTTTTCCATTTTTCAATTTTTCAATTTTTTTTTTTTTTTTTAATTTGAATTGGATTTAATTTTCATTTTATTAGAACAAATAATTAAAATTCTGCAGCATTAGTTCTCTTCCTCAAAAAGCAGAAAAAGTGGAATCTGATTCATTGCACCTTTACCACTTTGATCACTACAATATATAGTAATTAAATTATATATATATATATGTGTGTGTGTGTGTGTGTGTGTGCACTGATATTGACTGGGCTGTTTTTTTGCCGTTCAGATTGTAGGGACATCGAAGAATTTCGAGATGAAGATAAGATCGGATTCCGATTCCGACGAGTGTACAAACGGGATTATCGCAATGCACAAACAAATCATTCGAAACAAAATCCATAGCTTCACTCCATCTACGCCGCCTCAGACTTCGATGATGAATTACAGAAGCGCGAAAAGAAGAAAGGGCGTTCCTCACCGATCTCCCACCGGAGGCCTTTTAATGGAATACTGAAATCTTTCGGATTTCATTATAATGTACTTAGTTGAATTTCGAACCCTCGTTTTTTTTTCTGTGGTCAAGAATCCAGCATAACGAGCTGTGGCAATGGAAGCCGATGCTGGAGATGCAAAACCCGTTGTGCAGTATTACCGTTTACGTAATTATATGTGTATATAGATATAGCGAAAGGTAGATGAATAGGCAAATAGTGTATGTTATATATATAACATAGTCATACAAAGTTGGAGGGAAAAAGAGTTTGTATATGAATAATGTAAGAAATCTGTGTACAAAGTTTCAAATAATAATGTAATAATGTGTATTTGTTTTGGTGTGTAGATGATGGTAATGCAATTTTTGTATATTTTTTTTTATGTTATATCTTTAGGTTCAATATAAAAACAAAATTACTTGGGTTGGAATTTGAATAATGAGGCACACTTGTGTTGAATTGCCAAGCAATTTCTAGTAGATATGACCATGGTCGATCGGAACCGGTTCATGGTCAACGATTTTGACTACGGCTCGATTAAGGGTTGATATATCCCGACTACCGGTCAAATCCGGGGTTGTGCACATTTAGAAATAATTAAAAAAAAATATCCGACCCTGATTGTTTCTTAGTTGAAGATCAACGGTCAAGATTAAAATAATTATTAGTAAACGGTAAAATTCTCAAAATACAGACAAAATCAACGGGTAACTGTCTAAAAATCGGCCCGTGAAACCGGCGGTTCAGAATCTTAACCGGATCCTTACAACGAAGGTCTTGGAAAATACAAAGAAAACACCCACTCCATCATGGAATTTAATTTTTTTTAGTGCACTAATCTTTTTGATGAAGAGAATAATCATTCACAATTAAAAATATATGGAAATAAAAAAAAATAATAATAAAAGAAAAAAAATGGGATGTGAATGGTTGGTTATGATCAAAGAAATTCCTATAAAAAAAAAAAAGCAGCTTTTGACAAAACCAAAGGGGTAGCCTCTCGAAGAAGAATAGTATTCAGTGGTGTGGTTCCATTTAAATTATTAATAAGTTTTTTATTAGTATAATAATGTTACTTTTTTTTTTTTTCATCAAGGGCCATTAGTATCTGCACTACATGAATATTGCGTGTTTTGTTTCTGCCAATATATTTGTTAAGGTGGTTAATATATTAGTTTTGTAGTGGAATACTTGTCACAGTGTAGTTGATAATAATCACTAATCAAATATGTTTTTATTTATTTATTATTATTTTAAATAAACTTATGTAACTCTCTCATCTCATCCATATGAATTTGGATTTGTGATCATATTATGAGTGGGTCTACTATTTGTTGACTATAAATAAAAATAATATATTTTATGATTCCCGATACTATGAAAAAATTTGTTTATTTTCTATACATACTTTGAAATGTAATAAATCTGATTCAACACATTATTCGTTTCAAATGGACCATATAAAGGCAGGTGGGGTTCAAATTAATGCACACTGTCCACCTAATTAATTTTATCTGTAGATAAATACATACATAAATATTAAATATGCAATATCATATGCATTGGGGACTTGGCCCATTTTTTCTTTCATAGGAAAAAGCACAAATATAATTAAATATTTATAAATTTTAATTAAAATAATATAAATGAAAACATAGCAGTATATCTAAAACATTATCTTAAAGAAACTCCTTAAAATTAAGAGTAAATCACGGCTACCCTTGAGACAATATCGAATTACGAAAAAAAACCCCTCTTGTTTGGTTAATTATAACCACCCTCCTCGACTGTGAATCATCTTACTCGTCCTCCCATGAGTTGTTAAATTCAACATGATTTTCTAGATAGTGTGAAATGTTATTTAGTTTGTACTCGTTTTGTGCAAAAATGTAGTTTATGATGCACCACAATCTGATATTTACAAGCCAAGAAACACGCCATATGATCATCTTGTTTCTAAACGTGGAGCTTAAATGGGGTAAAACGGGTACAAACTGGAGAATATCCCACATAATTTAGAAGATTCCTCTAAATTTGGCACCGCAAGGGTGAACGTGTAAGAAGATCCATAGTTAGAGGAGGTGGTTGTAATTACCCAAATATGAAAGATTTTTTTTGTAATTCGAAATTACCTTAAGGGGTTGGCCGTAATTTACACTAAAATTAATGAAGCGATAATGATTGGACTAGATTAGACGGGTTGAGCCCACTTCCGAAATGGGCCTTAATGTAAGACCATTATTTTATTTTTGAATTTTATAAGCCCACTGGTTTTACCAATATTTATTTTTATTTTGTTTTTTCGATTTGGGGAATTTTAATTGGAAGAGAAGGGTTTGCCGGTACGGCGACGGGCGGCGGAATTGCTCCGATCAGCGATCAGCAATTGGAATTAAAATTCGTAGGATAATTTACACACAAGGGAGACAACAGTACGAAGAATGGATAAGGGCAAGAATGACGTCAGCAATGGCGAAGAAGAACGAAGGCATAAGTTATGCAAGCGGTGCAAGCAGTCGTACGCAGCTTCTTCTTCTTCTAACACCGCCGATTCCTGCCGATTTCATCCTTCGTTCTTCGTGTGCCGCCGCCACGACGATCAGAAGAGGTATTATACAATCCCTTTCACATTTTGTAGTTGATATATGTTGTTGTTGAAATTAAAATGAGAAATGCTGAAAATCATAACCCTATGCCGAATTTCAGTAAAATTGTTTGATGTGGAATCAATATACTGGCAAAAAAATTGAATTATTTATTTACGGAATTTATATTAACAAATTTCGATTTCTAGATGTCTCGATATTTCAGCTGATTGAACGCATTTTTTTGTAACTTTTGGTGCATTATCTGTTGCCGCCTAGTTCACAGAATATGCAGATTAGCTGGTTTATATGTTTGTTTGTTTGTTTTCATTCGGTTTGTATGCAAATATATTATTTTCTTGCGATTTTTGATACACAAGTTTTGTCGAAAAGCTTGAAATGGTAACATATAGAAGTTCGAGCTTTCTTATGCAGTGAATTTTTTTAGGTTGTCGTAAAGAATATTGTTGATTATTTCAAAGTATAACACAGAGGGACTTTATGTTTGGTCAAATTAATTACCAATATCTATTGGAAAATCGCATCGGCACCTCCATCAATTCTTGGCCCAACTAAGCGGGGAAAGTAAGTTGGCAATATCATATTAACCCCTCGATGGAAAAATAGAATTAAGTGGATAGTTAAAAACTTGTACGGCTGTAGTCCTTTCATTAAAAGTTTCAAAACCAAGAACTCCGACCGGTTTCCCTTCTATCACACATATACATATATTCAAACACGCGTGTGCATATTAACGTACATATACATATGTCTGCTGCGTTCGTATGTATATATTTATACATGTGTAAGTTGTACGCTTCATCACAAACATGTGAAGTTTGGTTTTGCTTGAGGCATGCATATGTCGCGCTCATTCTTGTGACGAGAATTTGGGGTTTTCTTAATATGTCTTGAATACTCCATCTTTATAAGTTATCTGAACGGGTCCCAACTTGTGAGTCGATGTCAACAGATGGAGGCTGACTCTATGGTGAATGAATTTTGCGTTAACAAGTAACACGAAACATGTTTTTTTTCTTTCTTGTGTTCGAAGTTTTAGGGGACAACTTATGAATTTAAAACACAATGACCTCCAATTCCGACTTTTGTTTAAATGTCATATAAGTTGTACATCACTCTGTCTTATAGGAGAAATATCTAATTGTTCAACTTCCCTTTGTTTTTGGATCCGTATCGCTCGCGCGCATGTGTGTGTGTATGATGTTGACGAAGCTCTGTGTGTTAATTATTGAAGGTACTATGAACTGGGACCGAACGATCCTCCATATGCTGCCAAATTTTACGATTGTTGTGGAGCGGAGGATGTAAATGCACCTGGCTGCACCACCAGCTCTCATATTTCGTACGATGATGAATAAATAACGATAGCTGCATCTCCCATCATCCTTATCAAAAGTGAGTATTAATCGGTATAGTATATATAAACCACCCGAGCTAAGAATGCAGAAAGAGTACTTGTTGTTTTGACATGAATCTTGTGAGTATATTAAAACATTTCTGCAGTCGAAAAGCTGGTGTGTATATCAATAAATGTTTTTTTATTTATTTTAAATTTAAATTTAAAATATAATAGAGATTGAAAGAGGAACATGGCATCCTCAATATTATGAGTTATTGGGGATGAAATTAGTGGTTAGTCTGTCCCACGTTTGCTCACTCCTGTCATTTAGATATCACCTCCATTCCCATGTGAATCCATTCATTTCTTTGCTTTTATTATTTTAATGTGACTTAATTATTTTGTTTCCTGGTTGTTGCTACTTCAGTGTCTTTTCTTTCAATATAAATCAACACATTTTAACTGTGTTTTTTGTACTGTCCGAAACCCTAATGCCCCTCTATTTAGTCGTGTTTCGTGATGATTTTTTTGCTGATTAATCGCGTTTCATGTTGAAATAGTTTGCAGGCTTGTTTGGATTTTTTTTTTTTTTTTTTTAATAAGTGGAAAATTCTCTAGTTTGTACTCTCGTTTTATCCCATCCGAGCTACACATTTCGAAAATATCACATTGTGGTGCATCATGTATTGCATTTTTGCAAAAAAATGAGAGAACATTCCACAGAATGTAGAAGATTATGTTGAATTTGACACCATAAGAATGGACAGACGTGTAAGAAGATTCATAGTTGATGGGTGATTGTAATTACCAAAACACGAAGGGCTCTTTCGTAATTTGACCTTATTTAAGGGGAGACCGTAGTTTACCCATAGTTATAATTAGATATTAAATAGGGTATGACTATTTAATTTGTTATGGATTTATGTAGAGAAATAAGAAGGTAGGAGGCGAGTCTTTTTCTATAATAAATGAAGGGATTTAGGATACTTATTATTATCAAATGGATGAGCTTTGCTGTCACGGTGTGTTTATGCATGATTGAGCAGCTGGCTAAGTAGATTTGCCCATTGTTTCTTCATTTTAACTTGCTATTGTCCGGTGGGGTTTCACTTATTTTTATTTTATTTATTTTCAAACCCTTTCGATATTTATTTATTTAATCATAGAGGTTTTGTAGAAGAATGCTGCACATGTAAGAAAATTTATAGTTGAGGTGTGGTTGTAATTATTTACAAATGAAGATTTTTTTTTTGTAATTTAACCTTATCTCCGAAGCATGGGTGTTAATTTATATAATTATAGAGCTTTTGTACACTGGTGTACTCGTTTTTAATTTTTTTTATTTATTATCAGAAACGTCCCCAAAATTTTTAAATATTTTAAAAAGACCCCAAAATGTTTTCGGCGGGACGTTTTGATTTCAAAAACATGAAAACGTGTGTGTAAAGAAGTTTCCGTGAATCATAAAATTTACATCATTTTGTCCAAATAAAACATGAGATACTTGAACGAATGGTGTGTGATATATAGAAGAATATGGAGGCTTTATAAACACGCCATCCCTAAAGTATCATCTCACCTAATTAATCAAATCTTAGTAATAAATTAACAATAATGATAATAACATAATAATAATGATTACATTCAACTTGCAATAGTTGAAAGCATCAGGAAACAACTGGTTAGTTTCCTTGTCAACTCCTCCCTCATTGATTTATAATTCCGATTATTATATCTATTCTTCCCAAATTAAATATTAATTAATTTCACCATATTATTTTATATATAAAACACAGAATAAATGTTTAATAATTATGTATCAACTCTTTTGACTTGCCTCTACCTGTCTACCGACACCAGAAACTACAATTATTCATCAAACTAAAAAAAAAATTCATATCTCAATAAAACCAATTAAATTTTGATTTTATCCCTTTTTTAAAAAAAAACAGTGAAAATACGACAAGACCTTTAGTGATGTAAGAGACTTTTCAAATTTAATCACTACTAAAAAACTTCAACAATTCTTAAATTTGTCCTAATATATAGATGATTATGGCATAAACTTAAAAGTGCTTTAGTGGATAAGCTGCAAAACTTACACTAAGGTGGTGTTTGCAAATGTTTTTTGAAAGTGATTATGCAGTTTTTTTTGCTTATAATATGTTTTTACGTGTTTGCAAAATCAACTTTTGCTTTTGTTTCTCTTAAAATAATTTGATTTAAGTTATTTTTTTAAAAGCACCCCTAACCATGCTTTTTCTATTTAAGTTCATTTTCTAGAATATTTGCAAACACCCCCAACTTTCAGAAATAAACACTTAAAACTAACTTAAATCACAATCACTAACTTCTGCTTTTAAATAATCATTTGCAAACACCACCTAAATTTGTGATTCAATTATTAAATTCGGATTTGGATTTGGATTTGAATTTGAAAGGAAATTGGACTAAATTTGATTGTAAAGTAGGGTTGTTCATGGGTCGGGTCGGTTGATTATCGGCCGATTATCGGCCCGACCCGACCAACCGACTCTTACAAATATGTAAAACCATTACTGGTCCGACTATTGTGAGTCGGGTAATGGTTGACAACCGACTTTGTCGGTTGCCTTAGCGGGTCGGTTGAAGTTATCGGCCAATATCGGCCACATTAATTAAAAAAAAAAAATAAAAAAAATTATATTCCTCTATCAAAATGCAGCAACAAACATTCCAAGATTTCATGCCCAAAATAAAATTTCAACAATATCACATATTACAAATTAAAATTCCAAAAATAATATAAAATACGAAAATGAATCACTTTCAGCCATTCACATTTTCACAGTACAAAATTCTGAAATTTTTAATTTTAATTTGAGAAACACAAAAATTCATACCTTAGAGTTTAGAAAAAAACTAGAGAGGGCTAGAGGTAAATCTTTGGAGGAAACAATGGCGCGTCGGCGACGATGGGCTCATAGAGAGATGAGAGATACATCGGCAACTATGGTTGATAGAGAGAATAGTCGAAGACAAGGGGAAAAAAAAAGAATAGAGTTTTTTCCGTTGTGTATTTTTATTTATTTCACCGGTCAAAAATTAAATATTGAAATTAATAATCGGTTAAAACAAAAAGAATAATATAAAAACAATTATAAAAAAAAAAAAAAAAAAAAAAGTCGGTTGGTCGGGTAATATCGGCCAACCGACTTTTCAACAAATTAGAAACTATACCCGACCCAACCATGCATGGGTCGGTTAAAATTATCGGCCCGACCAAAACGAGTCGGTTGGTGGGCAATTATCGGCCTGAATAGTCGGGCAGATAATGGGTCGGTTATCGGGTAAAACCGACCCATGAACAACCATATTGTAAAGTACTTTTCTATATTTTCACAATCAAGCACTTAAAATCAAGATGTAGTCAAAAAGTCATAGCATAGTTGGAGAATAATAAATTACTTGCCATTTCACAGTTTTTCTTTCCAATTAATTTATTAAAATTAAATAAATTCACATCATATTCTTCAATATATATAAAATATATTTTCTTCTCCAAGTATCAGAGTTTTTGAAATAATCCAAACATGTGAGACCAAATTTCTGATTGGCAATTTCTTTATTTACTAAAAAATTATTAATTATTAAATAAAAATTTCTCCTTTTTCTTTTGGTTCACATTTTTGACCTATGTGCTGATAAAAAAAGCGCAACACTTGCAGCTCTTTCTTTCCTTTGTCTCTGAGAGACACTCTGACAAAAGTTTTACCAAGAGCTTTTACAGGGGAAGACCAGTAGGGGTATTTCTGGTAATTCACCTTTTCAAAAGTGAGTTAGAGAGAGAAAATAGTTAGAGAGAGAAACAACTGTGGTGGTCACTCAGTCACTCTGGGACAAAGAAGAGAGAGAGAGCACACACCAAACGCAAATCATAATTTTTTTCTCTTGTAAATTCTTCCCCCACAGCGCCAACTCTACTTCTGTACACACTGCATAACTCAATCAATAGATACAGATAGATATATGTAAAACACACACACACACACTTGCAGAGACCGACGTACACAAAATCAGAGCGCGGCATTATATTCCCCTTGTACAAGGCAGGCGACAATGTCAGCGTTTTAGTTGGATTCCCCATCTTCATTCCTTCTGTGTTGAGCGGAATTGCAGTTTCTTCTCTCTTCTTTTGCTGCAAAAAACATACTCGCTATTCGTCATGTCTGCCAAATCCAAGTAAGTTTCCTTCATTCTGTGGATCTGATTTGGTTAGTTTTCATGTTTTTCAAGTAGAGATCTTCGTTCACACACTATTTCATTCATGATCCGATGTTCGTTTTGTTTGATTGGCATCTCAGAATCAAGTTCGCAGTTTATCATTTTGAATTAGCGTTTAGTTTACGGATTCCACAAATTTCTTCTTTTTTTCCCCTTTCCAATAGTCAATTTGGGGTTGATCCCGCCAAATTGACTTGAGTGTTTCGGATCCCTAATTTCTTGTCGCAATTTTTTTTTTGGATGCATTTGATTTGATGACACATTTGCAGTTGTTGCCAAAAATAAAAAAAGATCATGTCTTCGTTTTAAATCCATCTTCTTTGAAACTGCGTCTTCCTTCTGTAAATGTAGATCTTGCATTGTTCTTCTTTAGCTAGAAATTTGTTCTCTGATTTATGGAACTTGACGAACTGTGATTTCTTGCTGGCATATAGATCTGCTCTACCTGAAACACCCAACAGTAAAGTATCACCGGCGACTCCTCGTGTGAGCAAGCCTAGCAGCAGAGGAGTGGCTAAACCCGATGCCGATTCAGCTTCTCCCTTGCAAAACTCTCGTCTTTCAATCGATCGGTCTTCTCCGAGATCTGTTCCACCGAAGCCTGCATTAGACCGACGTTCTCCCAAACTCGCCACCCCACCTGATGTAAATGTAAGTTTCAGCAAATTTCCTCATGTTGAATATATCTGGAAGACTAAAAAAGAGCTTAGTAGTACTGATGCTTTATTTGTTCTTGGCTGCATTCTTCTTTAATGTGATATTTTCTTCGCATCTCAGAAAAAGATCACCCGTGTTTCGAAACCGTCTGAAGTTCAGACCGAACTGAATTTAGCTCAGGAAGATCTGAAAAAGGCAAAGGAGAAGTTGGTTTTGATCGAGAAAGAAAAAGGAAAGGCCCTTGATGAATTGAAAGAAGCACAGAGATTGGCTGAGGAAGCCAATGAGAAGCTCAGGGAGGCGTTGGTGGCACAAAAGAGAGCAGAAGAAAATTCCGAAATTGAAAAGTTTCGAGCAGTTGAGATGGAGCAGGCAGGCATAGAAGTGGCTCAGAAGAAGGAAGAGGAATGGCAGAAAGAGCTTGAAACTGTACGAAACCAGCATGCTGTAGATGTGGCTGCTCTTCTATCTGCCACACAGGAAATTCAGAAGGTGAAGCAAGAACTAGCCATGACATACGATGCGAAAAACCAGGCACTGAGCCATGCTGATGATGCGACGAAAATAGCTGAGGCTCATGCCGAGAAAGTAGAAGCTCTCTCTGCTGAGTTGGTCCATTTGAAATCCATGCTTGATTCTAGAGTTGAAATGGAGGATAGTGAGAACAATAAACTCGTGTCGGAATTGAAATCGGAGATAGATTCTCTGAGAGAAGAGCTCGAAGAGGCGAAAACTCTGGAGGAGGAATTGGCGGAAAAAGAGGCTGCATTAGAGCAACTCAATGTCGATCTGGAGGCAGCAAAAATGGCTGAATCTTATTCCCGTAATTTAGTGGATGAATTGCACGGAAGACTCGAAGAATTAGCTTCTCAGACTGAGCAGGCAAAGAGATTGGAGAGATCGGCATCAGAATCTTTGGAATCTGTCATGAAGCAGCTCGAAGGAAGTAACGATGCATTGCATGATGCTGAATCGGAGATTTCGGCACTTAAAGAAAAGGTGGGATTGCTCGAAATCACCATAACAAGGCAGAAAAGAGACGTTGATGAAACAGAAATCTGTCTTGAACTGGCTGAGCAAAAAGCTTCTGAAATGGTGAAGAAAGTTGAGTCTCTTAGTTCTGAACTTGAAGCTGTAAAAGAAGAGAGAGCTCAGTCTTTAGACAATGAGAAGCTTGCAGCTACCAGTGTCCAGAATCTACTGGAAGAAAAAAACAAGCTCATTAACGAGCTGGAAATTTCGAGAGACGAAGAAGAGAAAACCAAGAAGGCATTAGAAAGTTTAGCTTCGGCCTTGCACGAAGTTTCTTCTGAAGCAAGAGATGCCAAAGAAAGGCTATTGTCTGTTCAAGTCGAGCATGAAAACTACGAAACACAAATAGAAGATCTGAAGCTGGTTCTCAAAGCAACAAACGAGAAGTACGAAAGCATGCTCGATGGTGCGAAACAAGAAATTGATGGTCTCACTAAGTCGATCGAACAGTCAAAACACGATTACCAGAACTTGAATGCCGAGTGGGAGCAGAAGGAGCTCCATTTGATGAATGCTAAAAAGAAATCCGAAGAAGAGAACTCTTCCTTGGAAAGTGAAATTAATAGGCTCGTTAATTTACTAAAAATGGCGGAGAAAGAAACTTGTGCAACAAGAGAGGAGGAGGATCGCTGGAAAAAATCGTTTAAAGAATCTGAATCGGAGGTGATTTACCTTAAGGAAGTCCTGGGCGAAGCGAAGGCTGAGAGCATGAGACTGAAAGAGGGTTTGATGGACAAAGAAAATGAACTACAGAACATTCTTCAAGAAAACGAGGAGATACAGAAAAGAGAAGCAGCTTCTCTGAAGAAGGCCGAGGAGTTATCGAAGCTGCTCGAAGAAGCACTGGCTAAGAAGCACGTAGAGGAAAACGGTGACCTTTCAGATAGTGAAAAAGATTACGACATGCTTCCAAAAGTAGTGGAGTTTTCCGAACAAAACGGTGTAGGAGATGCAATTGCCAAGGCGGAGCTACATTCTCAAGTACAGCTTGAGCAACCTGCACATGTGAACGAGAAGGTAGTTGAAGTCAATGATGTTTCTTCGATTGACGAATCTGTCGAGAAAGTTTCTGAAGTGAAAAAATCAAACGGGGAACTAAAAGAAAACGACAAAGATAAAGACAAGGAGAGCAAAGATTCTGCGGAGGTTGATCTTAAAATGTGGGAAAGCTGTAAGATTGAAGAAAAGGATTTCTCTCTTGAGGCAGAGGCAGAGGTAGAACCGGAATCGTTTGAGGATGAAGTTGACTCGAAAGCTGAGGGTGTTGACAGCTCTGACCAGGTCAACGGACTATCTTCATCGGAAAATCTCGACAATGGTGGGAGCTCGCCGGCAAAGCAGAGCAGCAGTCAGAAGAAGAAGAAACCCTTGCTTAGTAAATTTGGAAGCCTACTGAAGAAGAAAAGCACGACCAAGTCATAAGTAATACGTGAAACTATCGATTGCGTTTTTTTCCGATTTGCATTGCCGTAGAGGGATACTGGATTTCATATTGCAGTTGAGTATGTATTGCCAATGTTCTTTTGCTTCTTTTCTTTTTCCCCACCCCCTGGTTTTTAGCCCTCAATAGGGTTTGAATATGTAAGGCTTGTATCATCATCTTTAGAATATTCTTTTCCCCCAAAACTCTTGTCACAATGTGATTAGTGTGAGTTTATTTTGTAAACTTGTGTTTTATTATCTAAACCTCATTAAAATTGATAATCATTTTCTTTTAAAATGAAGTTTTATGATTGCTTTATATTAATGAACCTCGCCTCTTGTTTTAATATCGGGCCACGTGAGCCGAACTTGGTTGGCTTACATATTATCGAGCTTCATTATTATAGGTTCAAGCTCACATACAATCGGATCTCATTACTTTATAAGCTTAAGTTTGGCTCGTGTATCGGATTTTGGGTTTATATTGGGCTTATATCAAACAATATATAAATTACATACTTTACAACTCTGCAGCCGACTCGAACTCGGCTCATAAATGAATCATGTTTCATACAATGGCTCAAACTCGGTCCGACTCCCTGAAAATTAGGCTCGACTCAAATAGAATCGGGCCGAACCATCGAGCTTCGATTAGGCCCGACTCAATTGACGGTACTAGGTTTTAGGATGAGCTGGTAAATAGTAGATTTTTATATTGCAATTGAAATTCAATTTTTAAAACCAACTGAAATTATTTTTTCTATATTTCTTTTATTACGTTTACACACACACACACACACACACACACACACACTGACACACGTCGAATATACCTTGCCTCTTCTTCTTCTTCTTCTTCTTCTTCATCGAGAGTCGCATAATAGATGCTGCCTACTACTGAAAGGTGAAGAACAATAAATCCAGAGGAAGAAAACCTAGAAATCGAAGGATGTTTACGGCGGTGATATGCGTTCTGATCGTCCTCTGCTTCTTACTCAAATCCTTCTTCTACGAAGACGACACTCTCGATCTCGCTTCCTCTCATTCCAGTGCTCTCTTCACCGTCGCCAAAAGGTTCTATCCCCAATTTTTTTTTTTTTTTCAAAATTGAAAATGATCAATTTTCAGCTTCAATTAATATTTTTTGATTTTTGATTTTTGATTTTTGATTTGCGTGAATCTGTGTTTGATTTTGATTTTTGATTTTTGATTTGTTTTCTATGGCGGAGTACAGGCTGGAAAAACTTTATCGTGGAAGCAAAGCCTACGTCGGCATCCAAATTCCTGACCCCGATTCCGCTTCTCGCAAGAATATTGATCTTGTTCTCGTCACTAATCAGTACGATTTCCTTTTTTTTTTTTGGAATTCTAAGTTTTAATTCCCTCTTAAGACATTAATAGATCATTCCCCCTTTTCCTTGAATTGTTGACAAGAAATTGATTAGTCATGTGTTTTGCTACACAGAGGGGTTGTGGTGATTTCTGTGAAGAATTTATCAGGGTTTGTGTCCACCGACAAGGATGGTAATTGGCTTTGCACCGACGGAAAGCACCATAAGACGGACCTTGTGCCGAACCCTGTACGTTAATTCTCATTTTTTGTTTTATTTTTCTTGGGCCTGTTTTCAATTTTTTGCCGTTCTTTGATTAGGAAACCTTAAATTTACCTTGTTACCTAAGTATTTACCCTCTCTCCTATGCGATCAAATTTGGGGTTTGGCATGCTTGTATTACTTATGCAGATTAGATTTGGATTCATTATGATCTGAAAACTCTATTAGGATATTATCGTGCTCCTCGATAGGTGGTAACCTATGGGACAAAAATTGCTATATTAGCTAGCTCTTTGTTTCTTCGTCGTTAAATTTTTATACCTCGCTCAATTGCTATAGTTAATAGTCCTCTTCAGTTTCATTCCTCGTTTGTGATTTGTTGTCGGTTTCTTCTTTTTTTGGCATTTCTCCAGCGAATTGTTAGGCCTTACACCAATTTTGTGCATTACCGCATTTCACGTAGAGGAAGCCAGGCAATTGGTTCCTATACTTGAAGAGTATCTTGAACAAAGGGGAGTTGTTCTTCCAGAAGGATATGTGTCCTTTAAAGTCATATGCCCAAACCCAAATTTCCCGGTATGTTTTTCTGTGTCCTTTATACTATGTTTCAATGGTGATTAAAAGTGTTGTTGTTTTCCTTATTCTTCCCTTTTGTATTTTTTATTGCTTTCCTTCATATGTTTAAAGGCTTCTTGCAGCAGAACCATACTGTTGTAATGAACAATTTAGAAAACTATAAAAATCAGTATGTCGTGACCAAAGTGCCAGATGTCGAGCTGTGTTTTTGCCCGCGAAGTTTAGTTTGTCACACATTTGGTAGTTACTAAGCTGTATGATTCTGTTGGAGTGCTTTATCCGCCATTAAGTAACATACTGCTCTCCTTACGAAATATATCATTCCTCTTTCTCTTTTCCAGCATCCCAGTAAGGCTTCCTTTTTAAAATGAATTTTATCTCAAGAATACCTTCACTTCGAAAAACGATGTTATAATACTAACTTCCACCCAATAGTTTTTAACTTTGTAGTGCAGTAATATGAATATATACAAGATGCCAAATTTTTAACTCTCATCCGACACACTGCCAAATTGAATTGGATAAATAACAAGGAAATAAAGAGATTATGAAATAAGCATCAAATGATTGTTGGCAGCACATAAAGTTCCATATGAAGTAAAGCTGTATGGAAGAATATATCTGCCCCTACAGCAAGCAATGCTTGTACATTAAACTTTCTTGTGGATTTTATCATAAACTCCGAGACTCAATTATGGCTGTAGATTACTTGGATTTTAACTTTTCAAAATCAGTATATGTGAATTTTGGCATCTATATTTAGCCACGTAAAAAGCTATTTTTGGTTATATGTGATTCTGTTTTCCATGCCTCTAATTCCGATGATTTTTTTGCAGTTCCATTCATGCAGACTCTTTTCCACATGAGGTCATTACTTATGATCAGTGGACACAATTAAAACCCGAGCATGGGAGCCTGTATTCTGGATGGATCAAAGGTGTACTTCATGTTGGAAAGGATAATATGAAGGATTCAATTATCGAGAAGCTTAACTCTGTCCTCAGCACCGCCCCAATTTCTGATAGGTGCGATAATCGTCCCATATTCCAATTATGTTACTATGCAACACACTGTTGAAGTTAGATGGGGAATAAAATTGAAGTATAGCTTTAAGGGTTTATGTTGAATTGGGCTTGTGCATTTTGCCTCCAAACACTTCCTCATTGAGAAGATAAATTAGCAAGTTTGAAGCATAAAGATTTATAAAAAAAAATAGCGAAACAAGATTTCAATTTTTTTTTGTTTTTTAAATGTCTTTTTTAATTGACGATTACCTGATATAATGC